GCATGTGGCCGGAACTAATGCCCAGCTTTGGAATATTCATGAGAATATCATCATTTGTTCGTATATATGGGTTTGGTAGTGTCGTCGTAACGTTAATGAGAGTGGGTGACATATCAACTGTTTTATTTGAGCAGTTAAATTATTATGGGTGTAAAGTGACATGGAAAGTTTTTTAGTGTTGTGTATGTATTTAGATATCATTAGAGTTGTACTTATGTGTTCATGTCCGGTACTGGGCATTTAGCCATTTATGACGTGCGTAATTTGTCCAAAATTTAAAATGTTTATACGGGAAATGTTATAAACGCCAAAATAATTACCGCATATTTACAAAAAAATAAGAATTTTCGAAAAATTTGTATTTTTGAATATAATACTCTGGATTTTTTGTGTTCAACTTTGTTTGAGCTTAAAAAAATTTCTTCTCGCATCGTTCAAATATTTTTTTTAAAAATGTGTACCTATTTTTGGAAAATATCTAAAAGATTTACGTGCTTTTCAAACAATAACGGAAATATTTACAAATATTTGTGTCCGAAAATCTAGTAATACGTAACAATATGGAAAAATATTTTGAAATTATTGTAATCCAAAGGAGTTACACACCCGCAAGGTTTGACCGTCGGTCGTCAGCAAATAAAAAAGTTGGAATAAATACATAGCCGTCCTCTTAAATAAGCAAAATGAAGGATCATGCCCTGAACATTTAACATTTAACATTGTACAACTAACTATAAATATTTTTGTAATGCTGTTGTTCTTAAAATCGAATTTCTAAGTTTTCCCCAAAAAAATTGTGATTTTTTTTCAGAAAAACCTTTCAACGCCAATTACTCCTTGACAAGGGGGCATTTATCTCGATCAAGTCTTTACCCCAAAAAAACGAATGAGCTTCTTCTTGGTCTTGACTTGTGTAAGAAAGTGAATAAAAGGATGAAATTCCTTCTCCTCTCTCTCTCGCTCTCAATTTGGTTTCAATTTCCAACTTTCCGACGCAAACCAACTTCACTTCATTTCATCGTCGGATTAAACCCCGACGTGGACGCCATGTCACGAAGGAATAAGGAGTATGTGTAACTACCAGAGGTGGGCAAAATACTGCGTCAAAATAAATACCGTATTTTGAGCTCCGTTCTTCCCAAGGTTTGGATTTCCGGGGGTGTTATACCCACAAAAAGACGAAAATCTGCGTGGAGAAGACAACAGTCGAATGAAAGTACAGGTTTTCTGAAGAAATTAACTTTTTATCGCGGTTAAAATACTAAAATTTTATAAAATGAGGAAAACGATTTCTCCTTATCTTATAAAAATTTCACAAAATCTTGTGAAGAACTAAACTTGTTATCGCTGTCGAGATAACTCATTTCTTTAAATCGTAAAAACAATGTATTTTGACGCCGATTAAATGTTAATTTCTTCATAAAACCCGTATTTTCGTACGACTGTTGTCTTCTCCACGTAGATTTTCGTGGGTGTGACACTCCTCTGGAAATCCACTCCCTGGGAAGAACCGAGCTCAAAATCTTGTACATTTTGACCCAATATTTTGCCCACCCCTGATAACAACGAGCATGTTATCATCCCGGCTGCCTCTTGGTTTTCCTTCTTTACCAGTTTTAGGATTTTAGCTTCGCCAAGAAGTGATGATGATGATGATGATGACAGGAAGGAAGGAACTGCATGCAGCAGCAAGGCCGATGATATAACAAAGGAAGAAAGGAATGGAAAACCCACCACAGTCGACTCCAACCACACTCTCGACTCGACAAGTAAAAAAGAGCAGGAAAACAAGTGAGGAAGACGGAACAATAAAGTAAGAAAAGAGGTGACTATGGGACGACGAGTGATGTCATCAACCTAAAATAATTCGTTTTGTATAACACAGGATACCACTTGCTTTTTTTTTTATAAATATTTAAGATTTAGTAAAACTGCATCGTTAATGAACATTAGGCTGGACCGGTCCAGAGAAAAAGCAATGAAAACAAAGTGTTAATTTTTGTACAAAAATGCGAGCTTCTGGCAAAACAAAATTCACCAACTCCGTCCTCAATTCATAAATCGATGAGGTATAGGCATAAGAAAAATGCGACAAACCTGGGTTCAACGAAATGTAAGCGTCCAGCAAACAAGTTGAAACTTGATACGAATCTTGATCGTCCAGAATCGGCAAACGAAAAGTTTCTGCTCATTTCGACTACGACATTCAGAGATTGAAGACCACACGTGGAATATTTGACAAAAATATAAAATATACTTGTAATTTCGGAAACAATTATTGTGAGTGAATACAAGTAAGACAAGAGTCAGCCCATCAGCAGCCATCAATATGTAAGTCAATCCCTCCCCCCCGTCTTACCTCTTGAATTATTATAAATATACGATCTTGGCAGAGGTCAAGTTGATTTATAAACGGACATATTTTGATTATTTAAATATATTTCTGATAATAGGGACTCGGACAATGAAGATGTGACGGAAAGAAGACGGACGAAGGTACGACGAATCGTTTATTATGATTCCGAAGATTCACATGAAGAGGAAGAATCTGCTGACGACAATCTGGACCGGTCCAGCCCTGATCCTATTGATCTCGATATTCGTGAGAATTTCCACTTACGCAGATATGGAAAGGTTTGTTTATTACTTTATTATATATTTCTTAGGTTATGAATCATTTTATTTAATTCGTATAATAATCGTTTGAACCGGTTCAATTCTTGTTTACATTTTAGTTGTCTAACGAGCTCCTGGAGCTGCAACGTCGAGAGGAATTGATCGATTGGTTGAAGGAGGTAGAGAACGACCCATCACCAGGCCGAGATATTTTGGACCTACGACGAGCGGAGCTTGAACTTGCAGCGAACTGGGCACAACAGAATCGTAATCATCTGGATATTCAGTTTGACATTCGTATTGCAGGTAAGCTTAGACAATGTTATTCTTAATTTGTGATTATGTAAGATCTCCAAATTGAACCGGTTCAATATATTTGATTATTTAATAAGGGTCCTCCATCAAAGGCTACTATGTCTTTCGGACCGATGGGAAACGGAACAGACTATCTTCCTATTACCCCAAAGCCATGAGAACAGGTGTATCACAAACTATGACGGACCGGAATGCCACCTACAGAGATGAAGATCATCCTCTTCACGATGTGGTAAAGAAAAGTATGCGAGAATCTAATCAAGCTAGACCTCCTATGGATATCATATACGTCGCCTCGCTAATCCCAAAAGATAAGATGGATGAAACATTGCTACGTACTATGAAGAGGATTGAACCGGTTCAAGATGGGGATGGAGTCGAAGATTATATTGGAATTTATTGCGGGAAAGGTGGAAGGTTTTCGATGAGAACATCGAATTTTGTTAGAGAAACTGGCATGTCGAGAATTTATCAGAGAACTGTTGGTGCTGAAGATCCTGATTTCTGTGCCCAAAAGAAGGTCATTCTATGCAACTCAACCTATACAAAAGAAATTGGTGAAGGTTTTTTGATGGTACTAAAGCCTCATTTTATATCTGACTGTTTCTTATATTAGACCGGTCTAATTTTTATTATTTTTTAATTTTAGTCACACGCACGGATGTATAATAAGATTCACGGAGTTGCTCGCTATACCATCACAGAAACTGCAACACCATCAGCTAACCTGATCAAAAAAGCACAACAATATGCCATCGATAGGGTTCCGATGTTCAAATTCGTTGAGGATGGGGAGCAGTCTCACCCCCCTTATTGGGCCAATATTGACCAAGTTGCCACCCTCCCATACACGTTATCTGCAAAAGATATTATTCTGCGTTTCGACCCCGACTTCCCGGATGAAAACAGACACTACAAGAACTTCAAAAATTTTGCAGAATTAGTTGCTGAGTTAGGGAACCCACCTCCAGAATACTTTGTGACAATGGATGATTCAAGAGATGAACTCCTTCTTGAGTTCCAGGAAATCCAACAAGCCCGCAACGACGAGTAGGTTTTAAAATTCCAACTTAATTCGTTTTAGACCGGTCTAAAGTTGTTTAGTTTTAGTTTTTTTTTAAAATCACGCAAATATAATTATTATCAACTGTAATGAATAACTAAATATATGACTTATGGATTCTTGAATTTTATTTACTATCTAGAATATTTTTATATATTAGCTTTATATTTATAATTATATTTTTTATAGTTATATTATAGTTTTATACGGTTGCGACAAATGGAATGTTTCGAAATAAAATTTTCATTTTTGTAAATTTGAGTTCTCTCTCAATGGACTCGAGAACTCAAACCTGCTGTCGTCCTATTTGTGTAATGAGCTGCTGCCGCATAATCTGCAAGATTGAGTTCAGAAATCGCTTCATGGGATGATAAAGTCCTGACGACCAAGTAAACCACAAACTGCCACTAATAAAGTGTGACGTGGCCTTATTGAATTTCCGTCGGGAACATTCATTTCAGGCAAGGTTTACTTTCTCCTCTTTTCTCTGCTGCTGCTGCTGCATCCAATCGGCGTTCAATTCCTTGCCATAAATTCAAAATCAAATAATGCTGATGGGGACAAACTACCGACCGACCGAGCTAAATAAATCGATGCGTTGTCTGCAGTGGCCGCGGAAGCTGGGGCGACATCGGGGGACGTTAACATTGTAGGATGGGGGGAGGGAGGGGTTTATATAAGATGGGGAGATGATGGGGACATCAAATAACTGTGGGGACAGAGGGATAATGTCCCCTCAAGCTTCCGCGGCCACTGGTTGTCTGCTGATTTCTAGAGGAGATGAGACTAAAGGACTGCATAATAATGTGTGATACGGAAATAAACCTCAATCTCAAGATGCCGAAGGTTCATTTGCATTTGGAAAGAAAGTGACGACATGGAAAGCGGTTAGAAATGCAATAATGCTAAATTAGATGAGAGAAATGGAACAAAATTGTATTTTTGCAGCTCAAAATCGACTTAACTATGGGGAGAAAGTATGAAAATTTCACAAAAAATTACTAACCTGCCGCAGTCCTATTCGTGTAATGTGCTGCTGCCGCATAATCTGCCAGGTTGAGTTCAGAAATGGCTTCGTGGGGATGATGATACAGCCCGGACGACCAAGAGGTGCTGTCCCCCTTCAAATTAGCCCCACACTGTCCGGCCCCAGTGGCAAATCGGCTCGCTGCTGAACTCGTAGCGGCAGCCCCGGCGAGAAAAAAGCTCCCGTATTGAGCTGCATTAAATCTGAAAAAATAAAGTAAAAATCAGTAACAAAATTTATATTTTGTTAACATAGGTCTCGACTACTCATCACAAAAATTGTCAAAATCATCACATTTTTAATGATTTCACGCCTTTGGGAATTTATTTTAACAATTCTAGACGACAAATTTGTAGTGGGTGAGTTGATTAATGGAATTGCGGAGAGTTTTTTAAGCCAGTTTCGACGAGTTCCAATTTTTCTGAAGGTTTCTTAAACTTGAGATGTCCTCCTTCAAAAAGTGTCAAAATCTGGAGTGTATATTTTTAAAAAAATTAGCAACTTCTTTCTCTACGAATTTGTCGTCCAGAATTTTAAAATAAATTCTCAGAGGCGAGAAATCATTTAAAATGTGCTGATTTTGACGATCGGTCATATTTTTCAAATTTTTTCAGCCACCTGGAAGTGGAAGGCATGGGAGGGTACGGAGACAAGTCCGTGGCGCGATGATACCCTTGATGATGCGAGGTCAAAGGGTAGTGCCAGGGGTCGGCTTGGTGATGGTGATGATGCCCCAGACCAGAAAGGGTGGATCCAGCATAGTCAACGGCAGCCCCGTAAAAGTCGCTTGCGCTGTAACCACCCATATTTACGAAAGGCTGCTTCGAACTCGACGGTTGTGGTTGGTAGTTCGAGTTCCAAAATGAAGGAGGAAAGTTCCGCGTGGACATTGGCGAGCCTACAAAAAAATTCGACATAAATTCAAATTCTCATACATATTTTTTACCCAGCTGAATACATTGGCCGCGGAAGCGGTGGGGACATCGGGGGACATTAACATTGTAGGATGGGGGGAGGGAAGGGTTTATATAACATGGGCAGATGATGAGAACATCAAATAACCGTGTGGACATTGTCCCTCTGTCCACACCCTTCCGCGGCAACTGCGTCACATACATACATTTGAGTAGCCCGAAGTCTTCCAGTGGCCACAGAAGCTTTGGGGACATTAACATTGTAGAATAGGGGAGGCAGGGGTTTATATAAGATGGGGAAATGATACGGACATAGAATAACCGTGGGGACATTTTAAATTCGCCCCCACCCTTCCGCGGCCCCTGTACGACTTCCGGTCTAACTTTCGTTCCCAACATAACTAATCACTGGATTCGTATAGCACTTGTCCTGTCATGTACATACATACAGAGCCATTTAATGAGCGGGTATCCTCTGCACCCTGTCGGCTTGCCTTGTTTTTTGCCCCTTAAAAACAAACCTCCTAGTCTTTTTACATACATGTTTCTCCTTTGCATGTCTAATAATACTATGAGAAAGGTTAACTAACGAAGTGTGGGAGAAACGAGTCCCTCTCTCTGATAAGTCGTAATTATTCCTTTACAGATAAAGAAACTGAGTCGTTGTAAATAGGATGGAACGAGTGAAATAATTAGTCATCACAAACACCATCAGCGCATTCATTACACTTTTGTCACACACTTACAACTTCAACGGGCACATAGCATTTTCTCGGCTAAAAAGTATCTCACAGACCGGATTATGGGCTATCCCACAACATAACCAAAGAAGGGACCAACTTCCTCTCTGTTAAGGGCTCCTTGTCTCATTTTACGAAGAACTGCGAAATACATGTGCTTAAAAACGTGCAGATGCTGTACAAATGTGCGTATAATGTGTGAGTCATGCTAATTCGCGTAATCTTCCCGTAATTTCATATTCTCCGAATTCCCGTAATTTCATATTTTCCGGACTCAATTTCTCCAAAGTTTTGTACACCATACATTTCAATTTATGAACATGCGAGTCATACTAATTCGCGTAAATTTCCCAAAATTTCATGTACTCCGGATTCAATTGTCTCACCAGTTTCACAAAGTTTTCTACTTACGCACACCATACATTTTAATTTGTGAATGAATTTCCCCTAAAATTATTTCCGTATAAAGGACGACCCTTTACTTTCGAATGGTTTAACAGGATTCAGTACATGCACATTTATAATTTGTGAATCAACATCTGTAAGCCAGAAACTATGCTTGAGCACCTCTCAGTTTCATTCCCAGTGGCAGTTTCCCATACCATAAAGTGAGTGAAACCAAGTCTCAAACACCAGGTTCAAGACCACAACTCTCGACTTGAGATTGAATGAAATGGACCGATTTCGACTTTCGAGCCGGCTTCTTGTGTTTTGTTGTTAGTAAAATGACACTTGGACAAGCAGACTGTCAACCTTTCCGGGAACATATAAGTATAGAACCGGTTCAGGGTGACGTATGTGTGTATTCTTGTATTTATTAGAGGCTGAGTGGAGTTCACTTTACAAGAGGACAGTCTTGGTCTTGGTCTCAAAATATAGAATCTCATCTCACCAGCAGCAAGTATTACTTTACGAAGTCGCAGTGGCCGCGGAAGCGTGCGGACAATGTCCCCACGGTTGTTCGATGTCCACATCATCTCCCCATCTTATATAAACCCGGCCCTCCCCTATCCTACAATGTTAATGTCCCCCGATGTCCCCACAGCTTCCGCGGCCACGTCGTGTTGAACTTGACTCTCACAAAGGACAAGGAAGGTGATTAGTTGTAAAGTTCTAAGTTCTAAATTTGACGATTTCTTCTTCTATTTCTGGACATTACTTTGTGAAACTCTTTGAAAAAAGATATTTCTGCTCTGTTCACTCACGATGTTTGGACATTTCAGTCTTTTCAGCCGACACACTTTTCAACCTACTAAAGACAATACTTCTGGTCACGTTCGTTTTCTGGACTGGTTGGTCTCGGAATGCCGCAAAAGATAAGTTTGGATGACATATGGCATGAAGTAATTAGTGGGCCACAACTGCGCTCCTTCGTTTAAATATGTATGAAATACTAGCAAAGCAACTGCCCAGCAGGCATTGTTTGTCTTTGGTAAGTAAAGAGCATACTTTTCGTGCATCTAATGTTTTGGACTTATCGCTCAAAATTCCGATACAAATAATTTGTATCGCTCAAAAGTGGCCTCGGAAGCCGTGGGGACATTAAAATTGTAGGATGAGGGGAGGGACGGGTTTATATAAGATGGGGAGATGATGCGGACATCGAACAACCGTGGGGACATTGTCCCTCTGTCCTCATCCTTCCGCGGCCACTGTGATTCTCAATTTCATCTCGAACTACTTAAATTTTTAATTTTCTTACATTTCGTCGACGTGGCTGCACTCAAGGCTCGGTTGAAGTGATCCTCCACCACGCGTGCCGTCTCTTCTCGGTAGTTTTCATACACGATGCAATTCGCAGATAAGTACTGTACCCGGTTCCCCCCACCACCCCCACCGTTCCCAACTTGCTGTTGCTGGTCATTGTTATCATTGTTGCTTTGCTGCTGCTGCTGCTGAGACGGTTCGCCCCCGTCCGTGTTGGGATGATCCAGCAGGTGTGCGGGGTGGGGGTGGGTGTGACTAGTGATCGTGGCCGAGGCGGAGGAGGAGGACGAGTTGGACGTCGCAGTGGACGAGGAACTGTGGGAGTGGGAGTGGTGCTGACGGTGCATGGAATTATGTGGGGACCTTCCCCCAAGAGAATGGTGTTGCTGTTGCTGCTGCTGTTGGATTTGCAGTAATTGTGTCGCCGACGTGATCGTGGCCGGGGCGGAGGACGACGGGGAGGAGAATGTTGGTCCAACCAGGCCCAGGAGCGGGGTCAAAGGTCGTCTCCCATTTCCGGTTGTGGAAGAAGACGAAGAGTTGTTCAGGCTGAGGCTGAGGCTTAGCTGGGGACTGTGGGTAGGATTTGGTGGTGGTCCAGCAGCAGCAGCAGTGGACGATGAAGGTCCAGGGCTGTAGGAGGACGTGTCCGAATGCAAAGAGTCAGGTGGGGATGGGACGTAGGGAAATCGGAAAGGTTTCTGGAACATGAAATTAATTGGTTCATTAACTCGAAATAAATGCGAATTGGTCATATTTTTTGTGTTCCCACGATAAGAAGAAATGCAATTAAGCACGTTTCTCCGTATTATGGATTTTGAGGGTGGGCAGGGCACATACATTCTCATATTTCAGCCATCTTAGGATTTAGGTACAGACTTTAATATGATTAATAATAAGCTAATTACTAATTTCTTATGTATGATATGCCCCTAATTAATTGCATGGTTAAAATCTGTGTCATCATAAAATACGAAATTACATGTGGAAAAATGTGTAATTTTTTAACGTCGTCATTTACAAGGCACTGACATGAAACCCATCACACCATGAAAACAAACATTGAGCGAGCATTAATCCCAACAATTATAATTTACTGGCGTTTTTTAGTGGCAATAAACTTTTATTGTTTACATTTAATGCTTTATGGCTTTAACGATATGATGAATGAGATCGAATAGGGTGTACTTTTCTGCATACGGATTTTCCATGCATAATCTTGGCTTGCATCGCATTTCCCTGCATCTGCTGTCCTGAGATCAAATTACTTAAAGTTAAGTACTTATCCTTAGTTAGTTACTGGTCAAGTACGGAGGGCAGCTTTTTTTGCAGAGGTGTCAAATTAACGAGTCTCAATTTGTTGAGGTCTAAATTGCAAGGTAAGTAGTTTATAATGTAAATAAGACAGTGTCACTCACTCACTCACTGCGGTTGGTAGGTGGATAAGCAATGTATGCATTTGTACAGAAGAAACTATTTCATGGTGCGTTGTAGTGGAACAATTAATGATAATGGTAACGACTTTGGAGGAATGTGAGTTGTCTCAAGTTTTTCAGAAGAGATTTTGTCCTCTCGGATCAGATTTTTGAGTACGTATTTTAATAATATTATTATTGTCGTGACTCGTGAGAGACTTTTTTAACGTACTTATTTCAAAAACTTGGGTTTATGAAATTTTGTTTATGAATTTTATCCATGAAATAATAGGTTTCTCGATTTTGTACCCTCACACAGATTTTTTAGCCCGTATTTCAGTATTATTATCATTATTATTGCCGTTCGAGATTTCAAAAATTTGTTTTTTTTTGTGTTTTAGAAATTTTTTTGAAAATAAAAAACTACCTTTTCTGCCGGTGGTCGATCACAAACCCCATAGTTCGAGGAGGACATTGCATACGGCTGATACATCACTGTGCAGCTCATCTTATCACTTTCCAAACCTCTTTTTGACATCAACTTGATTTTTTCAGGGGAAAATCCGTCCTCACATCTTTTTTACTGAGATTGATACCATTCCATAATTTATGTATTAAAAAAAATTATGATAATTCGTCTTAAATAGATAATTAATTATTTATTTACTAGCGTCACTCACTTTCACTTTTAATCTATATTTTTTTCCTACTGCACATTTACTTTATATCATCATCACATCATCAAGCCTGGAATTTTCCTCCTGGAACTTCAAAATTATTACTGTATTATCTCCTCTCCACTCTTCACTTTGTACTTCAGCTATTCCAAATATTTCAGAAAGTTGATCCTCCTCCTCCTACTGCACAAACGGACGCGTTGTCCAACTTTTTCCTGCAACATAAAACAAGCCAGAAAAGGATTAATAACATAAATTCCTTTCCTCTACGTCACGACTGAACTGAACTTTTTAGTTAAGAAAGGTAAGTATAACGATGTGAATGAAAGGTATTTAGCAGCAGCGGCATTGTTGTCTCGTTTTTTGTAACTTATTTTAGTTTTAGTTTTAGTAAAGTTGTGTCCGCACTTACGGTGGAGAGATGAAACAAATGAAAGAAAATCCAACAACCAGAGTGGATTCCAAATTTCTGACTTGTTCTTTCTGTTCTGAGGTAAATCCAACAACTCGACCGACCAACTACTACTTTGTTACATTACTTTACAGAGTAGTGAAAGTGGTGGAGGTGGAAAGAGTCTGGAAATCTGAGAGCTGCTGCTTTGCATTCCAACCGAGTCGAAATTCCACTCAGGTCTAATTATCTCACTCACTTTCCCTCTCAACCTGAAACCAACCAACCTTTCCCGTGTCTTTATTATACAGATTTAGATTTCTTCCAAACCATCCACGCGGCGTATATTTTTACCCAAAAACCTACAAGAAAATGTTCAACAAGTTTTTCGCCTACTTTTTCCTCTTACTAATAATAATGCGGTCTGAATTCTAATTAGGACAAGTACACCGACTTGATCTAGTTGGTAACAGGAGGATAATTGTTATTCTTTTTCTCTTCTTTTATTAATGACAAATGCCGCACACAGCGATCAATTCAAGTTCTACTGCTTGGCACCTGGCTGTCAATTAGGCGAGGCGGCGGCCTTCTTGACGAATAATCGTCCACTTGTCAACTGTCACTTATCTTTTTTGGAGAGAGGATATCACCTTGTTCACCAATTGCAGTACTTAATTCGTTGTATGAACGTATGGATAAAGTTTTTTTGTTATTTTCAATGACTTTTCCTCCTTAATCTGGATTGGATTGGAGGATGATTAATTAAGAATTGACTGAGTTAAAGGTCACTAAAAAGATTGGCAGTATTTTACTGTAATATTATGCGCACCCTAACTTTACTGAAGAGCTGACAGAACTAAAAACTTGCAGTTGAGACTAGAGATCTTATTGCCCAGGAATTTGTGTATGTAAGTTTGAGACTCCTCTGGAAATAAAGTGTTGTATTCGCTGTGTTATTATGTATTAAGCAATATATTCGTGTGTCTTAACTGTATCTTCAACGGAATAATGCGTACTTGTAAGAAGAACAGAAGTCGGAGAGAGAGAGAAGATCTCGTATTTCTTTTGGTCAGGATTTGGAGACTTGAAGTGCAAGTAAAGAGTAAAGTAAAGTAAGCGATGAAAGCTTTTAGAGCCAAGTATGACCAAGTTCTCTCTTTTCTGCTTGCCTTATCCGTTTCCATTGGCTTTGGTTGGGTTGTGTGTGTCCCGTATTCTGCATTATCCGCGAGTGGTCGTATTGTAATAAGAACAGGAAGCAGGGAGGAAGCAGGGGAGGCGGAGTCTCATCTCGTCTGTGGGCAGCCGCTCCACTTCATCTCGAAACGAAAAACGGTACACGTAACAGAGAGGCGAACTTATGCAATGGACTGAAAATTTTGGAAATTTCAGGTTTGGAAATGTGAAAAGTATTGAAGTTTTGTTTGGGGGTAAAATTAGTAAATGAAGTCATAATTCGTGACTCATGAGAGAATGAAATTTTGGAAAGGGCAGGAATTTCATGATGTGTTTCGTAATATATTGTAACTGAAGGTTCGATTGAGACGAAAGTGAGAAGTGAGAATTTTATAGATTAGATGATTTGATGGACTACAGGGATCGGATGATGTGAAAGTGTCATAAGGAATGTGCAGAGTCATTATAATATTTATTTAGAGAGAGACATTACATACACTGCTTGTTCATGTTTTTACAGTGGCCGCGGAAGTGTGGGGGGGACAGAGGGACAATGCCCCCACGGTTGTTCGATGTCCACATCATCTCTCCATCTTATATAAACCCCTCCCTCCCCCCATCCTACAATGTTAATGTCCCCCGATGTCCCCACGGCTTCCGTGGCCACTGCAAATATGAATGATTTTTTTGGCCATGTTAAATAATCTGGACTTATTAATCTTTGTGTTACATAATTTGTCGCATTTAAGGAAATTTCCTGCCACAATTGGCCTACAAAATTGATAACTTACTTACCTACATAACTTATCTAATTATGTATGTAGTAATTGATGTGATTGCTCAATTTCGCCTCATCATACCCCCGATCAGAAATACGTAGATGTGAGGTGTGATTGATGAATTACACAAGAATGAGGAACAATGAAGAAATCAGCATAAAAATGACAAGAATGGGCATCCCACCGAGACCCCCAAAGCGATGAATGGGATGACATTTCATTTTTATAATTTGAGTGGGGCTGCGCAGGTAATAACCATTCTGTGGATGTGAATGAATCGAATCTGTCCCACCTGTAAAGTCAGACTTGTAGTAAAAATGGAAATGGAATAAAAATCATGTTGAGCTGGAGGAGGTGTCTGACTGAAAGGTATTTTTAAATTCGTGCCAGGAAACACCAACGCATTCCAAGAAAGCATTTCATATTTACATTACTTAAAAGTTTTAAGTGTTTTAAGTTAAAACACTAATTTTATATCCAGTAAAACTTAAATTTGCAAGTATTTACTTAGACTGTTAACGTTCTCGTCACAATTATAGGCTCGTATTTTGCTTTCCCTGCAGATGACTATTTTTAAGGGAGGTTGCTAAAATTAATGCTTATGTACATATAATATTTAGCAGCTTAGTCAGTACATTGGGGTTGGATTCCATACGATTAGATCAGGTTGGTTGAAGGATGCAGAGCTAGCCAAGTGCCCGATCGATTTCTGTCCGAAATGTCCTTTCCCCCAGTTCCATCCGATCCGAAAGACTTGACTTTATACCCTCCAAAACTTGATAGACACCTATTTTATCCAGGCTGAGACTCCGACTGGACTAGAGACACGATGTCGTAACGCAACTTTCTTCTTCCCAAATGTACATACGCGACAGCATTATTGCAAACTAAAGTGTCTCCAAATCTACAATTCCCAACAGTTTAAAGACATTGATCTATCACACAGTTTATACTTTTGCCATATGCCATACGCACATGTCCACGTCCACCGTATACAAAAGTCGCGTAACAGCATAACCGGAATTCAGCATTGAGTAATCCAATCGCATTCAGTAAATACCGGAAATTCCTAAAATTCACAACCTTGCCTCCTCCTCTAACTTCTCGTTAGTAAGTGCCTCCAAATGTAGGTCTCTCTCTACTCTCTCATTTTTTCTGATGCTCTGCAAAATAAAAAGTAACAGAATTGTTACTCCAGGCGGAGAAGAGGAGAAGAACAACATTTGCAAAATATTTCGACGACAGATTTATTGAAAGTTTTAACAGGGATTGGAATCCTAAATATTTGCGAATAAGAAAAGAAACGCATTGCAGATTGGATGATTATTTCAACGACCCCAACAGCTCTGTCGTGTATGTTGTGTAGCTCACTTATTGCATAAGTTACATTACTAACACTTTACAGTGCCAGGTTACCACCAGTGGCCGCGGAAGCCGTGGGGACGTTAAAATTGTAGGAGTGGTCATGTTGCCCCAAAAAATGACGAAGTTTTTAGGTGACGCAATGTTAAAACTTGGAAATTTTTTTCCAAAATTTCGAAATTTTGAAAACATGTTTCTGGAATCTACGTATCATAATGCATATGCAAATATGTGCAATAAAATTTTTTCGGCCTGCGCAAAAAAAATTCACAAAAACTTCGGGGGTACTCTTTCCTAAACTCCGGTTTATATAAGATGGGGACACTGAATAACAGAGAGACATTGTCCTTCTTTTGTCCCCACCCTTCCGCGGCCACTGCATACTTATTTTACTTATAATACGATCCGACTAATTTAACTTGCAGACCATTCTGCAAAGAAAGATGGCGTAAATTAGCCAAGATTTCTACTCTTATTACCATTTCCATCCATCCATCCGATCCAATCCAAGTCTGTCTGTCGGTTCTTCGGAGGATGAAAACCTATGCACCACCCCGACGAATTTACATTCCAAATTTAATCAATTCTTCTCAGATGACAGTTTGTGAATAAATTGTCCCGCTAAAGAAATCACCGTTAGCTAAATTGATTACATAAATGTGGTTTGTTTACTTTGTGCACTTATTTAAAATACTTTTCCTCATCGCAGTCTAATTAAAGGAGGTCCATAAATTAAAATGTTGGTGAAGTTGAGATAACTTAATTGACTGACTCGCTGGGAAGGAAAATAAGCGGCGAGAAAGACATTTTCTTTCCTCGTTGGACGTGACTCAATGAATCCTAATTGAATCCAGGTGGCCTTTTCACTTCACCACCGGAAAAATAACAATGGCAAGTCCTTCCTACCCTCCGAATTCGGAGTTTTGTGTCTGACGGCTCAAATTCTGATCTAATTTAGAGGCAACTAAGATCACTTTCATTGATAAGATTTGACTCCGCGTTTGACGTTGACATCGAACATGTCATCTCTTGGGGATGAGAGGGAAGAGAATTCTTTAATGAGTGTTCGGGAGGAAGGAAGGAGGAAAAAGTCGCCCTTTTTTAAAAGTGGCAACTTTGTCCTTTTAAAGCTCAGATTTCCATCGTTTGTGTGCCTGTTCCCACACTTCCGAGGCCACTGGTTGTATAAAATACTGGTGTAATTAACCCCACATTTTGTTGCCTCCTCATCAGTCACATCGCATCCAGTAAAAAAATCTTCACGAATTATGCAACTCTAAATACTCGCAGAAACTAATTCATAAGGGGAAAATGCATCATGTTTATTTACACATTTGAAATATACTTGTTATGTAACACCCTTTACTTTGCACGTTTCGGTGCAGAATTTCTGTGATTTTTTTGATTTGCCCAAATGAGCGGAGGGAATGAGAGGGTTGCTTTTACTTTGTTAAGTAATCCTTGGCACATTGTAAAGATTTGAAGATTTACAGATTTCCAGAGATAAAGAGAGAGAGATTGCTTGAAAGAAATGAGACTCGTCGCTAGTAAGTAGTCGTCAGCTTATTAAGTGCGAGTCTGACAGGGAAAGAGGGTAACAAAGAGATAGATACTAAAATGTGGCAAAGTTTTGGAAAGGTTGTTGCATAATGAAGTGTATGTAAGAGGAGAGTTGTACTTGGGTGCATGTCGAGGGCATTTATGGCACTTTTTGCTCGGCATTTATATTTATGGCCCAAACTGTAAATACTGTAATAAGAAATGCTAAGGGAATTTGAACCACGCCCAAAATGGCCAAAATGCTGGGGATTTAAGCCACGCCGAAAAGGGTCAAATTTCCGGGAATTTAAGCCACGTCCTAAAGTGGTCAAAATGCTGGGAATTTAAGCTACGGCAAAAAATGGTTACAATGTTGGGAATTTAAGCCACGTCCAAAAGTGGTCAAAATGCTGGGAATTTAAACCACGCCCAAAAGTTGTAAAAATGCTGGGAATTTAAGCCACGCCAAAAAATAGTCAAAATGCTGGGAATTTAATCCACTCCCCAAAAAATGTTGAAAATCCTGGGAATTTATTTTCATGTCACGCCCATTGTACAACCCTGCGTAAGAAAATTCTCCAATGTTTCCTTCCCTACACAAACTGGTCGTCACCTCGTTATAATGATTCTGTTAAGTTTCGAGTCAAAATTTTAATGCGAAATTTAATTTATTTCATTTCTATTAAATGGACCAAACAACATTAAGCCGTCTATTCTTGGATGAAGATGAAATCATGTTGTACTATTTTTTGGCACGGGTAGTTAACAATTCAGCGAGACGAGAATTGTACTTTGAAACTATTGTCTCCTCCAAAAACTGAGGTGATTTTCCCATTAATTTACTCGTTTTGTGGGCAAAGTGCTTCGAGTCGTTTGGAGTTTGTCCAATGGCAGATTTATTATTTGTCTCGTGCGAATTTATGGATATGCACACACCGTAAAAAAAATAGGGACAGATTTTATGAATGATTTTTTTGTAAATATTTATCGTAAGTTGAATTTGAGCATTATTTTAGTAAAGCAATTTTGAAAATGGAGTATTTAATGGAAATTTTAAGAAAACGTTTAACTTTCAAGCTTTTGGGTGCAAGTCTGCCCTCATTTTAAAGAGTTTTTCGAAAAAAATGAAATATTTTAGAAAGTTTAGTTACAAAAGAATTTTGAAATAGATTTTGCCGAATTATGTATGCTGAAATTTTGAAAATTTCCATTTTGAACTTTACATATATTTACTACGCTGTATTTTAAGCTACATTTAATTGCCTTAATCTTAACAAGGAATCTCATGAAATATAACTTGATCCTCTTAATTAATCGTTAACTAACGAAAGTGACATAAGAAAACCGAAACCTTTTAAAAAATGCAGTCTAGCTAGCACACGACTGGATTGACTTTTGCGAGGCTAATTAAAACAAGATCAAGCTGTACCTATGTACATATACCTACACAAAACCCATTAAGAGATCCTGCGAAGTTGCCATTATTTATCAGTAGTCTTATACCGTCAGGATTTGCAATTATAATTAAATCCGAGGAAAACTTTTTTTTGCAAAGTCTGGGATCCATTTACATTTACATACGTCGCAAAATTTCAATTAAGTAAATCAGCCAATGGAGAACAGTCTCATTTTGCGACGTTAACAAATGTACAATCGATACCATTACTTTAATGTCACTTTATTTTTTGAAAACATCATCAATTCAGAAATCAAGGCTCTGCACTAATTACGAAGATAAAGTCGAATGAAAAAATTAGATCAGGAGGAGGAAATGGTGAGATGGTCTTAAATTTAGCTACTTTTTTACTGTGTACATACATAGGGTGACACTTCATTTTTCGAATTCATGGATAAACAGACCCAAAGATTTCAGAATTTTTACCACATTCTCAACATACTTTGTTAATTTGTTTAATTGTCTCAAGAATTTACAGAATTTTGGTCTGCTGCACCGACCGAGTCCGAATTATAAGTAAGCCAAATTATATTTGCAAGGGCAATCCTGCATATTTCGAGAGTATGCAGTAATTATCGTCATCTTGTAATATCACATCTTTCCCTTTGTTTCTCTCTTTCCCCCTTAAAAAAATCATCCAACTTATGTATGGCTTATCTTTCATTTACACAAGGAACTTGAGCGTGCTGCTGGTGAAGAAAAAAATCCATTCTTTTTCTCTCTTTCTTCTTATCCACTCTTCTGCTCCAATATAAATTAAACTCATCAAAATTCTTGGCTATTTTTAATCTATGGAATGTACAAATGCAGTAAATGCATCCCAGCAGCAGCTTTTTCCAGCAGGCTCACTTACGAACGACGCTAATGCCGTCGTCCATGCACCTCATTTTCTTCTCCAAGATGAAAAAGTATGTAAGTACGCAGTGGCCGCGGAAGCGTTGGTGGGGGCAGGGGGACAATGTCCCCACGGCTACGCGATGTCCTCATCATCTGCCAATTTTATATAAACCGGAGTCGCAATTGTTTCTGAATTATTTTTGCACTGGCCAAAAAATTTGTATTGCATATTAGCGATTATGATGCGTAGATTTCAAAAACATGTTTTCGAAATTTCGAAATTTTGGAAAAAAATTTCCAAGTTTTTAACATTGTGTCCCCTAAAAACTTAGTCGTTTTTTGGGGTAACATGACCACTCCCTACCCCATCCCAAAATATTAATGTCCCCATAGCTTTCGCGGCCACTGTACGTACAGTACAGGACTTTTTTGTCAACTTGGTTACTTTTAAGCAGGAAATATGTAAGTAAGTAAGCGAGAAGGATGTACAAGTAGTAGATTTTTTTGTACTTTTCTACGTCTGCTGCCTGGATGTGTAAATATCTATTGTCATTCTCATTGTCAGGCTAATCCATTTCCGATTTTTTTACACTAAATTCCTCATTCCTTGTGAAATGCGAAAGTAAAACAAAAACATTTATATTCATCCAACTGACTTTGCTGGATTTAGATTGCGAATATAAACCAAAGAGGCGCAGGCAGACACAACATTTCTGATTTTTTTAAACAATGAATACATAGCAAGTGTGTTACGTAATAAAATTAACGTATTTACCGTTACAACAAATTATTTGCAGTTATTTTTGTTACGAAAACCGGAACGAATTTCGGTTTCGGGGAAAAAGGGAATTAACAAATCTGTTTTGTTACACGGGATGCACTCGACTACATTCTGACGTTTGGGTGGGTGCAACTATGTAAAATGTGTTTTTCTGTGTGTAAAAGGCAAAAAAATATTTAGAGGGTTTAAGAAATTGAGGAACAATAGGTGTACTTTTCGAGTGTTGACTGTCATCTCCGCCCCAAAATTATAGCACATTTGTAACATGTAAAAATACTCTAAAAATTGTATCATAATTCATTTTATGAGTCATGCACACACGTTCTTTGTCACCCAGACGGGCTGGTCTGGTTTGTGGTACTTGGCTTTTTTTTCTCCCTACACATTTGTTACCCACGCGTTCCTTCCCCGATCCGATTCCGGTTTGAGAGCAACCACCCGGACCGGATAATAAATGGACTTTTTCCTCATCCACGAACACCATTACAACAAGGAACGAGTAGTGAGTGCTTTGTACATAAAAAGTACCCAATCTTTTACCAGCAGTGGCCGCGGAAGCCGTGGGGACATTAACATTGTAGGATGGGGGGAGGGACGGGTTTATATATTTAAGATGGGGAGATGATGCGGACATCGAACAACCGTGGGGACATTGTCCCTCTGTCCTTCCGCGGCGACTGGGGTTCCGACTGCATGGAAAAGTTTGGAGGTGTCACGACAGAAATGAAAAATGGTGCTTGGAGACAAATTGACTAAATCAGTTCATCTCTTGGAATAATAAATAATCATCGTTTCACTCCAAATTGGCTGAGAGTCAGTCAGTGACTCGTGTTCTGTATACTTGACACTTCCTTGGCGCAAGGAATAACGCCGCGCCACTGCCGCCGCCGAGTAGTTCAGTGAGGCCTAGATAAGCGTGTAAATAAGTATTACATAATCGTGCAATATGGGTTGGTTGGTGGAGATGACAAATGGAGGTTTGGTATTTGATTGGCAGAAGGGTGTAGGTTATTATACACATGTTTGCTTGTTGATGTCAAATCCTGTCATTTTCTCCATTTATTACTTTTAAATGCGAAAAAAAGAAAGACGGTAAAAAATGAAGGGTGATGTTTTGTGTCTTCATGTTTAAGAAAACTCGGAACAGTTTCACCCTAAAACTAAACATGCGGAACGAACAAGAACAACAAATTTACAGTCAATACCAAAGAAATGGTGTGAGAGTTATATATATTTTTTACTCGAGTAAACGAAGTAAAAAGTCTACAAATCTATGTAAAAATTGTCACTTATAAATTTTATAAATTCGAATATGTACCAAGTAAAAGTCTACAAATCTATGTAAAAATTGTACATTTCTGCGTTAAAACTTTCCAAATAATTGGTGTGGGGATTGATGAGATTCACTTTGAATTTTCCATGACCATGATGTTTCTTGAGTTTATCGGAGACGCCGAGCGCCCAAATTACGTACATGTCCTTGTCCTGTAAAATTAGCACGTGCCAAAAATTATTGCGAAATTATGTACTTTAGGTAAGAACCTGGATACCTTAATCGGGACATAATTTGGGAGAAGGGTGGTATCATCGTCATTTTCTCCGATATCGTCACCTCGGCCGTATGAATTTCTAGTATTGCCGACCAAGGGTCTTTCGTACTTGAGATAAGTGTGCGTCTCGTTTTGCGTGGCTTCCAACAAGGTCCACTTTCTCTTCTTATCCAAGTTAACTTTGTGTTTGTGTCCGGTGTAAATTCCGAAATAGCTGTGACCGTTTTCTGAATGGATGCCTCCAATCGCCATTTCCGCTTTGTCCATTTTTCCCTTCGAGTTAAGGCCTGTTTAAAATCAGATTTATTTGTAAGGGCTGTAACCAATCTGCGAAGGTAATTAAATACTAATTTCGGTGGAAAATTTATTTTCGACTTTTTCACTTGACAAAAAGGAAAAGTTAAAATTTAAAAATACATTTCTAGGCTTTTCTATTTCGTATATTTTTAAAAATATATAAATTTTGTCAATATTTCGACAACTCTAGATGGACAAGTGTCATTAAAAATTGGACAAATAAATACCATTTTTAGCAGTGATTACAAAAAATTGACTAAAAGCTTGATGAAAAAGAATTGAAATGAAACCCTCATTTTTTGTGAATATCTATTTCAGATTTTTGCTTGTATTACTGCATGAGTATTTACGAAATCTTTCATAAGTATGTAAATATGATAATAAACCCACCTAACCCAACATATCCCTGCGTTTCTCCAGTAGCTTCTAGTCGAATGGTGCCATTTTCTTGGTTCACTTCCCATGCAAATAAGTACTTGTCATCCAATCGAACCTCGTACCTTTTGGCGTACACGGGACGAAAAGTAATGCAACTCAGGACCAAAAGTACGGAAAATATCTGCGCGACAAGGGCAAACGTGGCGACAACTGTGTAGGGCATTTTTTCGCGGAATTAAAATTGCAGCAAAATTATTCGCAAATAATTTACTAATTAAATACTGGTCAACGGGATCCTTAAAAAACTGAGTACAGTAATGCTTAAAAAGTCGTTCCAAGATTGTGTTAATCTGTCAAAATCCGGACACACACTGCAGCGTCGTATGATTTTACGTACTCATAATAACTTCATGCAGGATTTTATACACAATGGATTTATTATTTAACAAGTTCATGAATGTGAGAGGAGCCTGCATAGCCGACTAAACGGCTAAACGGATGGAAGAGACTGTTTTATGATGTGAAATTGGAATCGAGATTTATGCACAGCGTGAGAAATGGTGTACGTGACGAGCTTATCAAAGTTTAAATGTTGTAATTTGACGAGGATGTTATATGTCATCGTATTGTAATGATAATTTGTATAACAGGTGGCCATTTTCACGTTATAAATATGTATAACTATGTATGTATGAAGTGCAAACATGCAGTTATTGTGTTGCATGGGTATAAGATTAGGTACTTAAATATGTACATTTTTACATGCCCTTGACATTGAAGGAACCCTTTTTGCGGGGTACTTAGAAGGTAGTAAATGTAAAATTGGAATTCATGGAAATCTACCTTTTAAATGCTTAAAGTCCGCTATTTTTACCTGAAATGTGAAAACTTGTATTGAACCAGTACGTGAGATACATTCACGTATAAGTTTATGCATTTATGATCCGACATTTCTGCGGTTTTTGGAGGATTATTACTGGATTTTATTTTTAAAAATTGCTACATAGCTCTCAATGAACGTCCGTCATCATCAGGCAAAAATACAAAGATTTCGGATAACATGGGAAATAAAATTTCCATTTTCATGTAATAAATACCTCGATAATTTTGAAAGAATTTTGTTTTAATTCAATACATCTTTCCTTTCGTAAACAACGCAAATTTTAGCAAGTCGAAAGAGTCGTGAAAAATGTTATACTTTGATGCCAGTTGATAATTTTGACAAAATTAGTAATTCTAAAATATATAAGTTGCAGATGGGTAATAGTTTCAGCCAGCTTTGGTTTGATGAAGTTTGGTTGGGGAAGTTGTAAAAATTCTTAATTCCATGCACAAATTTTAGAAAGATTCTTAATTCCTCAAAGCTTTGTCAGTGTTAGACCATTGATTTGATAGAAATTATTCATGAATACAAATTAAAATCTAAACAATTCATTCGTTTGACAACTTATATTTTTTGAAAATATTTACATTTAATTTATGCATTTAATTGATACCATTTTCTGACCGAAATCATGAAACGAATGAAAATACAGATGGATGAAATAAAGCCAAAGCATAAACTTTTCTACTTGGAAAACTTCAGCGTTTCATGGCAAACCGGAAACTCCGACTTGGGGGAACCATCTCGTGCGTGGAAACGGAGTGATTTCGGAAGGCCTCTCGTTTTGTTATGCTCTTTGTTGCTGGGGCTTCCATTTACCATTTCACGATCGATATGCACTTTTTTGCTGAATTGTAAATATTTAGCAAAACTATTTCAAATTTCAATAAGTTTGTATAGATTTGGACATAATTTATTTATGAAAATTAATTTTGCAACATCATTCCACAAGAATTGAGGTACATTACAAACTTTTACGAACTTTTACTGTCTAAATTTCGACCACCAACGTGAATTAATTTCTATTTTGAAATACATAATAATTTTTATTTCATAATTTTCAATAATTTTCATAATTTTTTGAAGGTTTTATTCACCTGTGTCAAATCATGAAATGGCATCCACAATGTTAAAACCAAATCGCACCTCCTCCACGAATGACCCCATCGGCGCAATTCTAAATCGGGCGAGAAGCACGTTAAATCAATCCCGACAATTTCGGGACCCCAGCGATAAGCAAGTTAAGCAACCCTCTCTCCTTCTCCGCCCCCCGAAACCGGAAGTCATCAGCACCCAGGCCAGCAAACTACTCCAGAATGACAACCGTTCCATTACAAAGACGAGTAATAATAATAACTCACGATTCATCCTCGACCTGGATAAGCACTCATCCACCACGACAAACTCGATTGACGATTTATTAGGCCGTACTAAAACAATTTTAGAGCAGAAAAAGAGTCGTAATCGAAAGGGAGATGGTGTTTTGTCAAATCCACCAGTTTCTGATGTTGCTCCTCCTCCTGCTGTCCCGCAAAGCACAAAATCTGCCGCAAATTACGACTACGACTCGATTTTCTCGAATGTAACTTCGTCCAAACGAGTGGGACGGAGTGACTTCAATATCTTCAATGTCCAAAATGCGTCCTCAAATGTCGGGGGAGGTTCTTCCGCCAAGTTGGAAAACCTGGAGAGTTTTGTGGGACTACAGCAGCCCCCACCGGAAAAAGTGAAGATTAAAACGTCCAACCCCCGCATGACCAAAAAGTCTTCAAACCTCAATAATTCTCAGAACCAGAGAGATGACGCTTATCATGAGAATGAAGATCGTGGCGACGACGATTCTCAATCTGCGGGGTCCTCCTCGTACGAAAGTAGCTACACGACGGGAGACTCGACCGAAGAGGAGAATGACGACGACGGATCGACCACGATTACGCCACCCACGATAACGGAAACCTATTCAAAATCTGTGAGCAATTCTGCTCCCTTGAAAGCGATCACGCTCGGGGATGAAAACGATTATCGAGCCAAACCTACGGAGTCAAAGAAGTCTAGAAAATTAAAAGTACAGGATTTGAAAGACCGACCACTCGTATTTCTCTCGGAGGAATCGCACGCCGTTTTCAAAGCAATGTCCCCCGACGAAGATGAAAAATCGTCCCCCGCTAATAAACAATATGACAACAATACTTCTCCAAAATCGTACACGGAAGATTTCGTGAGTGAGATTCAAAGCGTGGCGGATAATTTTAGCAGGACCTTTGCCCGTTCCGTGTCCATGGTGGAGGACAGCATTGAAGTACCTCAGACGGAGAGCGACACGGTTTCCGAGATCCCACTAGAATTGGAAGGGAGTGAAAGCGGTGGAGAAAGCAGTCAAAGATCTGTCTCACATCGCAAGCTGAGTGTCAAAAATGCCATCAACAGTCTCCGAATTGTGAAAGAAATACAAGGAAATTTACAAGACTTGGAAATTTCTGATCGTTCTGGTGCATTGTCGGAGGATGAGTCGGAGGCCAACAAGGCGTCTGAGCAGGCGTCTGCCACCACCAATAATGAGTATTCGGACGATCTCGTAATTAATGGTGCTGAGATTATGACATCGACAAACACTTCCGGGGGAGGAAAAGTTGGGAAAAAGTCAGATTCCTTGAAAACTTCGGGGAGTGCGAGTGGAATTTCGAAATCAAGCAAGCTCTCCTCCGCCAAGAATTTGGGACAGCAGAAAGCGCAAAAGTCATCCACCACTTCCCAAAGTGGTATCGAAATCGATCTTTCTCGACAGTCGTCACGAAAAGCGTTTCAAGCAGCGCTTTCTCAAGTAAAACTGCAAGACGAACTACCAAAAAAACACGTGATAACTGCCGTACAACAACCACCCCCACTTGTTGTTGCTGACCAGGAGAAAGATAAACCCACTAAAAAGACCGACCCAGTTTATCAAGTACCACAAACCAAACCTCAAACACAGATTCACTCCATCCTAGAAAAGGAAGTGTATCGCAAGGAGCTGAATCGTCTCCGTAAAATTCATCAACGAGAGGACAAAGAAATTCAGAAAATTAACGAGGTCCGACTCAAAAATTACAAAACGGTGAAAGAACTGGAGAAAGGAGGACGGGGAAAATTTAGACAGCCAAAAATTGACTTTCCAGCAGAACTGGAGACGGATCTGTCCTCCTCGGGAAATTGGGGGGCTCCGTACTTCAATTTGGATGGGAGTTTAAGTCAGGGCTACAGAATGGAAAATTTACCAAGAACACCGGATGAAAATTATGGACTTCAAGTTTCCAACATGGATGTTCCCCAACTGGTGAGGGAAGTGGTCAAGAGTAATGAAAGGATGTACAAGATGACGATCCGGGCGGCGAAAGAGATGTCGAAAGAGTACGGAAAAGATGTCAAGTTGGCGAGAAAAATTAGACAGGACAAACTTGTGAAGAGTAAAGTATTGAAAAATTAAATAATAATTTTAAGTACTTACATGTAAAATCTTGATTTGCTGGATTGAAATAAATGTTGCATACAAGTTTTTTATAGAGTTTATCCATAATTGCGATTGGATTTATTACTTCAATTACTTATTTGGTTTAAATCTGTACCAAGTTTCTAAAATCTAAAAAAACAAATGTGAAACACAAAATAAAAATAATATGGATTTGTAGATTGTAACATGATTATTGATTGGTTCGTCATAATAGTAAAAGTTAACTAGTATCTATTTAGTTAAGCAGTATCTTGTAAGTATGCATTTAGCTGCTGCTTGTCGTGTTACCCGTTAATACACATTAAAAACAACAAGAGTGATAAAATTAATAATAATACATGGTAAATGATTAGGACAATAAATATTAAGTCAAATTAGGCGAAGGCGGAGGAGGATACGCACCTCCGAACGATCTAATGGTAGAATGCGGACTGGAAGACGTGTGGGGGCTTGGCGGAGGCGCAAATGCATAGATATCAGAATTATCACAAACATCTGTTGAACAGGGAGTGGGTGGGGGGACGGGTTCCATTCTGCTGTAATAGGAAACTGCATAATTCCCGTGGCAGCAGAAAGAACGAACTTCGTCCGAACAAAGGGACGGGTTGGGGCCGTGGGGGACGAGAAGCTCACAGTAGGGAGAAGACCCAAAAGATGATCCATTTGTACTGGGAAATTGTCGTAGTGTATCTAAATTGGAAATTTGTGAAAGTGATTAAATTGATTTCGGGAAGATTTTCAATTTTTTCTTACCTATTGTGGGCACCGTGGTCATATTTGTTCCAGGATGATTTAAAGGGTTTGCTTCTTCCAATTGATTGACTGCAGGTCCTTTCCGAGTATACCACCAGTATAAGGCCCCCAATATTGCTATAATAAAAATTAGTACAGGAACTAGTATAGTAGTAACTGGAGTCAGTGGCGTTGCACGAATTGGAGTTTGGGTAGCCGCTTTGGAACAGGCTTGTTCACTCTCGTCCCAAGCGGATCCGAAACAATCTTCTTTGCCGTCGCACATTTGCGACCTTGTGATACACTTTGTTCGGAAACATGTTCCTAAATAAAAATAAAAAAACTAATTTTATCAACCAAATTCATATGCCAAGCAAAATTTTAAAACCCAAAAACTTGTGTGCACCTTCACAAGGGCAAGTAAAATCACAAGGTTCACATTCAGCTTCGTCACTTCCGTCGGCGCAGTCCACCTTCCCATCACTGAAAATACAAATACAACGATTATTGGCGTCGGTTTCTCTCATCGACAGTTACATCGTGACTTTCGTATAAAATATTGTATTGCAAAGTAATTTACCATCGTAGAGGAAGTGGGATACAACCAACTCTGCCACGAATGCATGAAAACTCGTGCGACACACACGGTGAGCGAGGAATACAAGTCTACAGCACAAAATAAAATTTAGTAATGATAATTTACTGCTTTTAGCGTTTGATATAACAAAGGTGGATAACGAACCTGTTGGTCTTCAAAAGACAGTGCGAAGCCTTCAAAACAAGAGCATTCTCCACCGATGCAAACCTGTAGTCAAAAAAATGTTAAAGGATACAAAACATAAAAGAGGAGTCATTGAAAGTACTTACATGACTACAATGAAGGGAGCGACATTGGTCAGCCTACGGATAATTAATTAACAAATTATACAAATTGTGTTCATTTATTTCCATATCGAAAATCTTACCATTTTACTGTGGGACTCGTTGACGAATGTAATGTATTTGGCATTCTCGATACGAGGTAGGACACCTAAAAGATTAATATTATGTATTTAATTTGTCATATGAGTATATAAACAATAGATTATTATAATTAAACCCACGTTGACGTTCATCTCCAGTCCATTTTTCAACTCTTTCTACTCCACTTCGTTCTTCAATCCAGTACACGTATCTATAAAGTGGACAATCTTGTTCAGAATAATAAATCTTGACTAATCAGACCATTTCTGTTGTACCCTACCTGCCCATTACTGCAATCGAACTCGGAGAATCCAAACCAGCTACCAACACTTTTCTATTTTTGCCATCCAAGTCACTAGTTTCAATTCTTTTCGGACCTAAAATTGCATATTGTATTAAACAATGGTAAGTATTGAATAAGCATAAAATTTCTGGGAACGGTTTGATAAAAATTTGTTCAGAATGTGAATTTTATGTATGTACCAGCATCAGTCCAATAAAGCATGCCCTCAACCAAGTCGATTGCCAATCCGGAAATTGTAGAACCACTGCTAGAAATTACGACGCGTTCCATCCCGTCCAACCGAATCCGTTCAATTCGACCATCGTTGCTGAAATACAAGTGACTCTTGAAAGTATTCAGGGCGAGATGTCTCGGACGTAAAGATGCATATTTATCTTCAGGAGAGTAGTTATTATTTGTAGGATATAGTGAAGCAGATGACAAAACGGAGCCAATATTTCGTCCCGTGGCATCACTGACATTGATAGAATTGTAACTTTCACATGTCCAAAAAAGTAGTAGCCTAACTTCATCAAACGCAATGTCAAAAGGTTTGAAATTTTCATCCACCGAGTTTAATAATGAAGTTGTTCCGCCACCATTTTCAACAGCTCGTTTTATAGTGTTTGATTTCGGATCGATCCAAAAAAGATTCCTGGAACGACTATCCCAACTGACTGCACTAATTCCACGGTGTTTTTGTTGCTGACTTCCAAGCACTACTGCATCTGGGCATTCGGTCGTGTCAAAGACCAGTCTTGAAATGGAGGCTCCAGCCGAGAATAAGAGAAACTCTTGTGGAGGAGTGCAATTTCCGTCCGGTGAAAGCGTGTAGTGAGTTGGACAACCACACTTTGCTTTGACATTATTACTCGAGAATGGATCTTTTCGATCTACAGGGACAGAGAAACACAAATGGGAGCAAGACTCGGTCGAGCAAGGGTTCCAACCTTGTTGTTTAAGATTGTGGTAAATGGCCATGTCAACGATGTTAGACGCAGGTCCAAGAGTAACAGGGTGTGCATCTCCACTCTTGTTGGCTAATAATACAAGATAATTTATGAATATGCATGCTAATAATAAGTTATTTACATATTTATGATGATAATGATAACTTTACCTCGAAGGATGGATTGCGTATTTATGTCAGACCAGTAAATATAGTCTTGGTATTGAGCCAATGAAGACGGTTGAAATCTTTCTCTGGAACGCTGAACAACTTGGCGTGTATTGGAAGGATCTTCTAAACTAGCTTTTTCTATAATCATCGAGTCAATATCTGCCCAGTACATGTATGACTCTTCCAAATCAATCGTCAATCCATGAGCACGACCAATATCCCGATCAATGAATGAAGTTCTTCTACTCCCATCTAAAGCTGCTCGCTCAATGGAGGGATTTGAATTTGATAGCCTCCACAATGCGAAATAAATTAAACCCTTGGAAGGATGTAGAGCAATGGATCGAGGGGACTCAATATCACTCCACAAAATAGTTCGACGGTGAGCTCCTGTTAATTTGGCGACTTCGATACGGTGACGTCCCATATCGGACCAATAAATATTTCGAGACAACCAGTCAACAGCAATACCTTCTGGATGGACTAATCCAAACTCGATAATCTGTAAATAAATGAGATAATTTAAGCAATGAAAATTATCCAAGAATTTAAATATTTAAATAGTCATTCGCTTACTCTCTCAGTTTCACTGCCATTCATGTATGCCCGACTAATCGCTTTTACTTTACTGTCACTCCAGTAAATTCGGTTTTCGATTGTGTCAAAGTCCAGAGCACCTGCCGCTTTAACTTTACTAACAGGAACGATGTCATCGAAATTATTGCTGTTGGTTCGGTTCAGGGATAAACGATGAATTTCTCCATCTCTGCAAAATTGATAAATAATTCTCAGAGTTAGTAATGAATGCAATGCAACTCAACCTTTACAATAAATGGTATTCAAGATAATCAGAATTACTTACCTAGAGAATACGAGGAAGGCATCTGGAACCAAGCATGATTGGTTGTCTGATGCAAGCTCATATCCTAAGAAAAATAAATCGATTAGCATACACTAACTCCAGCATAATTTCAGAATGTTGGTAAATAGCATTTGTACCTGAGGCACAAGCACAAACGGCTCCGCTAGGTTTATAAAGGCACAAATGTTTGCATCCGCCATTTGCTTTTGAGCATGAATTTGTCAAGTTGTGAGATTTGTCGTCAGCACTGGAAAATATTTATAGTCAAATATATGTGACGTATGTTTGTACATAGTCTGCAACCAAAAACTTTAATGCTTCAAAATGTATCACCTACCTCACACCAATTAATCCCATTGGGTCCGTAAAGGGGTCTTTGATTGTCATTCTCTCATTACCTAAAATATGTGAATTAACCATTAGAGGCGAAAAGGAAAAAAGAACATGCCTTATGTACAAACTCACCAGTTCGCTTATTGGCTCGTTCAATAGTTCGTCGCTGCCAATCAGTCCAATAACTAGTTGGAACAACACATTTTAATTAGAAAGACATTAAAATACGGATTTACTGATTATATAGCATTTGATGCGTACACATAGTCACCCAACAAGGCGAATCCAAATATGTGAGGTAGGTCATCGGTAATTAACTCTCTGCGATCAGATCCGTCATAGTTTGCCATCTACGAAAATTTAAATTGATAAAACAACCATAATTTTATCATTTTACTATGTTAATTCCAACCTCAATTTTATCTGTCTTGGCATCAGACCAATAGATTTTTCCTTCTTGTAGATCCAAAGCAATCCCATTCGGCCAGTAAATGTCTTGATCCACAAGAACAAGTCGACTTGACCCATCCAAGTACGACCTGAAAGAGTTTATTTTTTATTTTGCTCTATGGCTTGAATACTAGGTTATGACTATAAAAAATATTATATACCGTTCAATGGATGCCTTTTTTCCCCAATCAGACCAAAATAAGAAGCCTTTGATGGGATCAACGCTAATCGCCCTCGGTTCCTGAAGCCCTCGACTAATCAAAACCTTTCTATTTTTTCCGTCTAATCGCGACACCTCTATTCTGTCTGTCCCAGCATCCGTCCAGTATAAATTTTCAGCCACCCAATCTACCGCTAATCCATCTGGATGTACAATTTCTTCTTTTACTACATCTTGTTGTTGAGATCCATCCAATTTTGCTGAAACCAAATAAAATGCCATCAATATAAGCATTAGGTACATGCTTACACTAGTAGGTTTTCATATAATCAAACATACCTCTACGAATTCCAGTGGCTTCATCATCAGTCCAGAACATAAATCCACTCTTTACATGATAATCCACAGCTAAGACATGTTTAATCCCACTTATGTTTAAAACGACATCCGTGTAATCTTCCGTGTCCAGTGAAATCCTTCGGATCCCATTTCCTTTCGCCACAAGCAGAAAATTGATGACAGCACTGTCACACTGGCTGCCGTTCAGGAGCTTGATACCAATTGGACAAGCGCAGGTATAGAATGGGTCAAGGTTTGATAGTAGGCAGAGGTCCGAACAGCGTCCAACTTCACATGGATTATTTTTCCCAGGATATTTATATGACCAGATCGGAGTTGGGATAGTTTGTTCTTCAAATATTATGACATCCATCGGCTGCAATTTCTGTTTAGAACCAGTAGAGATTGTTTTTGGGTCTTTGTCCTTGTCTTTTCCATCAATTTTCAGAATGTGTATATTGCTACAAAAAAATAACATTGTGATTACACCACAAAATCAATACAATATACTCAAAATATCGGAATTTGTGTAAACCTTGTGCTCCAATCGGAATAATAAAGGTTATTATTATGATATGCCAACGCAAACGGATGAAGGAGATCTGCCTGATTTAATTTTTTTCGAGATAAACCGTCAAAATCGACCCGAGCTGCTAACTGTAGCTTGGCATCAACCCAGTAGACATGATTATGTTCCATATCGACAGTTACCCCGTTGGGCCAAAATATATGTTTGTCGACAATTATTTTCCTCTCCCTTCCATCCATACCGGCTCTCTAAATAATTTTAAGAAACAAATTAAGTTTTATTCGAACTATGAGTGGAGAACAATAAGCATATTACTTCGATCTTTGGATTCTCCCCCCAGTCGCTCCAAAACATCAGACCGACATGAATGGCAAGAGCTAAGCCTCTAGGTTGGTCAATGTCGTCCCAAACGAGCACTTTTCTGTTGTTTTTCGAAATGACGATAAAAATCAGTTAGAATTATTTCACTAGACTAGTACAGCTAGCTAGATACTAGATAATTAAAAATAAATCGTATTTGCCTATAGTGCGGATATGACATTGAGACGACTTCTATCCTATTATTTTCCGAATCAGACCAGTACAACTTGGAGGTAATAAAGTCACAAACGAGATCTATGAAATTAATTAAAATTTTGTCACTATCTTACACGTGTTTAAAATATTTAATTCGTCAGGTTTCTTATTTACCTTCTGGGGCTGGTAGAGCATCGTCCACCACGGTTATCTAAATAATATGCAGATTATGATTAGTGAAAAATTGCTAATCATCATGCTATTAATGATTTTTTACCTGATCGTAGAATTGGGAATTATTTAGGTTTAGCTTAGATGCAATTTCTGAAGTAATACTGTGATTAAAAGAGCTGCATTTGATCTTTTCTTCTTCTATATCTGACCAACTGTTGGAAACAGAAACAAAGGGTTAAACTTTTATTTTGGTACAATAATAACTAGAAAATTCTTACCACACGAGACCATATTCATAGTGAATGTCTACTGCGGTGGCTTCTATCAAATCGCTAACAACTATAGACGTGTTCCCACGAGGATTGCCATTTTGGCGAGTAAAGTAATAATCTAAAAGGCGAATATCTTGACGATTAGCTGGAAAATAAACAAGTACATTTATTGAACATTAAACAAACAGGGAAAATGTGTGCTGTTCGGATTGTAAATATAATGGAGACTAACCGAACATCAGTGTTGGCTGAGAGGACGGGTTTGAACTTTTCTCTGAAAACAAAGCCAACCACAAAAATCAATAACACTAACACTGTCGTGCAAAAGGGTTAAAAATGCATGCACAACAACTTAATCGGATTACGTTAATCCGATATTAACTCACCCACTGATGAAGGCACTTGATACAACAGTAAGAATGAAAAAATTAGTAGCTTCGTCCTGCTCAAAGTGTTCCATATTCCACTCCAACTCCGCCTCCCACCACCGCAGCCTCCCCCAACCCAAACATAAGACGACGGTGGTCGTCTTATTACATTATTCGGTGAATTAATCCTGAACATCTTCTTCACATTACTCTAATCTACATAAGTAAATGCACTTTGTTAAGCTTTCTTCTCTGGAGGTCCCACAATCATCTTCCTTGGAAATTCCTTGCATATTCCTTGTCATCTTTCAGTCTCGATAATGAGATTGGACACCATCATCAGCTTCTTCATGCTGGCGTCAAATGATCCTCCGCCTGTTCAGAAATTCAAATTTAAGGTGACAACGAAGTTACAAACTAAATTACAACGGAAACTTACCCAAAGCTTAATCTCGTGTCCAGCAATGATTTTAAAATCCTGGCAAACCTCCCCGAAAAAATCTAAATTAACACTTGTACCTGTACATCTTCAACCTTATCATCTCATGTCACATGTCCAATCTTTATTAAAAATAACAAATAACTTAGAAATAACTTACCTCTCTTTGTTCTCCAGCCACACTTCTTTGCCTTAATTATTTTCAATGACACCTTCAACTCCGCCGCCGCCGCAACAATTGGCAAGAGCTGTTGCTTATAAAAAGCACACTTTTTTAACCTGCCAAATTTGACATTATTATTGTCAACTAAAACTAAACTAAACTTACGAGTTGTTGTATTGCAGGGAGAACACGATATAAAAACATTGGAGTGCAAAGCCGTGGCGGCTTCTTTTTGATTCTAGTCCGACTTTGTGTATCCTGCCACGAATTGTAATAAAATGGACTAGATTTCACTCCACAAGGGCCGGTAAAGAGGGTTAATTGTACGATACGGTTATCGAAATGTGGATAAGCGACTTATCTTGTTGCTTCCGTTTTAATTGTGGTTTAACTAATTGGGTAAAGTTTGAGTAAATAATTTTCAATTTTTGCTAGTTTTCTACGCCACTTTACAAATTGAGAGGTTCCATTCGAATGTTCCGGGTTTATTTTATGCTTGCAGCATTGCATTTCAGCAGTCCGCTCCTTTATGTGGAGTTTTTTTGTAAAAATAAATATTATTATATTTCCGAAAATAATTTCGGAGTTCCAAATGTGCAGTTTGGAAGATGAGTAGTATTAGATAAGCGAGATAAGATAAGAAGCGAGTGGAAACTAAAAAAAAACTTGTCGCCGTGTTCTTCCGTAATTTTACTTGGAGGATTTATTTACAAGAAAATTAAAATATAACTTGGTAGGGATCAGTTTTAAATATATTTAAAAACTAAAAATGACGGACGCAGGATTCTTTCGGGTGAGTTGGGTGGTGGTTTACAAATTTGCAAATTGCGAAACTATTTTTCCGTAAGGTTTCTTGCCCAGTGCCAATATGCAATATGATTTCAAAATTTCTGCATTTCCACAGGGTACCTCATCGGAACAAGATAACCGCTTCAGCGACAAGGAGAAGAAACTCTTGAAACAAATGAAGTTTGCAGATAACCTCACTACGAAGGTAAGGCCATAATAATTAATTACATGACATGAATTATATGAATTGATTAGCCATAAGTGATAAGCCTTGAAGTTTCAATTTTATTCTATTTTGTTATGATGATTACTGTTATCGGACTGAATCTTACGCTGAATTTCATTAGAAAGGAAGTATTAAGAATTTTGTGTAGTTAAATAACCACCTGAACAAATATTAAAGAATGTCTATTTACTTTTTAAAGATGAACCTTGTGGTTTATATAATGTTGTTATTTACTTTTAGATTGAAATGAACAAAATCAAAATTGACGTACTCAAGCCTTGGATTGGAAAGCGGATAAGTGAATTGTTGGGGATGGAAGATGACGTTGTGACGGAATTTGTGGTAAATCAACTTGAAGAAAAGGTAATCAATTGTATAAATTATGGCATAGTTGAGTCTAAGTTTTAATGCTGAGCAATTGTTCTTTTGTTTTTAGAACCTTGATGCCAGGTAAGCCCCCAAACCACTAGCATTTTTTGTAAATTTTAAATCTTACGCCAATTTATAAATTATGAACTCTAACAATTTATTCCTTCCTTCAGAAAAATTCAGATAAATCTGACAGGTTTTCTGAATGGCAAGAACGCTAGAATCTTCACGGGTGAATTGTGGGATATGCTCATTTCTGCTCAAGAGAGCCCGACAGGAATTCCAGCATCAATGGTTGAAGCAAAAAAGGAAGAGATACGCAAACGCAATGTAAGTTATCGTTGCTTACTAAGCTATTTTATTAATGTTATCGATATCAGATAAACTTGTTTATATTTGAATAATTGTTATTTGCAAATTCTTTAATATCATATGCTAATTTCAGTCGTTTATTGGTTTGGTCATGGGCAGGAGGATCAAGAACGAATTAACGAAAGTGTGAAGAGGACTATTAGTCGGTATACGGAAAAAATAAAAGATGACAGAGATTCACCTCCTAGTCGCCGTGATAGATCTTCTTCCAAAGACTCACCACGTCCAACAAAGTCGACGTAAGTTAACTAATTTAATCCAGTGCATGACATTGTGCAGTCATTCCCAATTTCAAATGATGACTACTGTTATCGGCCTGAAGCCTGCAAAAATGTTCTCTATCTTTGATAGAGTTCATTTTGCAGGTGTAATGTTGCCAAATAACCACCTGATCATATCTTTAAACCTCTAAGGTAGTGGTGGCTGTTAATGTTTGTTGTAATTCAAATCGTGATTCATTTCCTACTATAAGCAGGGACCCCGACGACGCGGCGGAGTCTAGTCTATCAAGTTCAAAAAGGAACTACCGCAGCAGGAGATCTGCGTCTGCTTCTCCCGAGCCAAATAAGGCAAGTACTATAATGAAATTTTGTCTTGTACTGTTACAAATCGCTAAAAATGTTTAATTTCATATTGTTTCAACAGAGGAAATCTCGATCTCGAAGTGGTAGTCGAGATAGAAAAAACAATAGAGACAAGAGAACAGCGAGATCGAGGGATAACTCTAGAGACCGTGACAGGGACCGAGATTCTGGGCGACGTGGAGGTGCCTCCGGTGGAGGAACTGACCGATTTGGTAGGGACCATAGACCGGACAACAGACCTAGGAGGTCACGATCGCCTCGTCCCCAAAGACGTAGCCGTTCCCGTTCTCCCCAGAGAAGACCGAGATCACCTCCACATTGGGCGGGTGCGGGTGGTAGAGCTTCGTCTCCTCCAAGAGCAGTAAGACGTCGTTCACCTTTATTCGAACCAAGAAATAGTAGAAATGATACGAATTATCGCGATGCACCAGTAACCGCCGATAGAGACAGATTTCGGAGTCGACAAGATGATCGCAGAAGCAGAAGTCCCACTAATAACGTGAAGCAAAGGGATAAACCAACGGATAGATCGTTGGACCGGAAGGATAAGGAATCTAAAGATGTGCCGGCTGCTAGCAATAAGGTATATATTTAGATATTCTGAATTATCCTGTATCGAGGTGACCTCTAAAGCGTATGTAATTAGTAATATGTATGTGTATATTTTCGTTTTACTGCTATTATATTACTTCTCGACGTGTTATATTAAAACTTTGCTTACCAATCTTTTAAATATCTTCTCATAATGGATTTGTTATGTTTTACAGGCTTCGAAAAAGGATGGTGCCAAGAAGGACTCTGAGTCTCCCAGCAGTAATGGAACATCACCCGAAAACGGAATTCCCAAGTCCGGCAAGAAACACAAAAGTTCTTCAGATTCGGACGACAAATCTGAGGATGAGGACCAACCCAAGAAGCAGAAAAAGGACAAGAAGGATAAAAAGAAGAAAGAGAAGAAGCACAAGAAACATAAAAAGCACACCAAAAAGTTAAAGAAGACCAAAGATTCTACAAAGGATGATAAAAAAGACTCGAGCGAGGAGGATGAAAGTGAGGAAGATGACGATAAAGGAAATGAAGAAAATGGTAACAAGATGATTGTATTACCAAAAGAGATGGAAATGTCATTTCGAAAGCTCATAAGTGCAAATGATGAGCCGTCCAATGAAGATTTAGAGCGGAGGTTGAGAGAAAGAGCGTTAGAATCTATGAAAATGAAAAAGGCAAACATGAATCACTGATGCTGTTCCAGGAAAAGAGTAATAATATTAGTGTAATATTTGTATTCTAACTAAAAAGAGTATGTTAAATTGCTAAAATTTTGCCGCTTCGTAATTTTCCAAGTTTTTTTTTTCAATTTTTGTTAGATTCGCCAATTTGTATTCTCGTGTCTTTCGTCAGTCAGTCAGTGGTGATATCATCAAAACTGCATTATTTTTACTTACTTGCGACGAATCTGTATTTCATGTTTTTTTAAAATATCCAACTGTTTATACGATTATAACGCCCGTCTAAATAAGCAGAATGTTGTTATTATTAAGTAACCTTCCCGATTCCTACCACCAGACGTTTGTTGTTTTACAAGTATTTATTTATATAGACCTTCTTGTTAAATGATAGTTATTTTATAAAACACAAAAAAAGAAAGTAAAAAAAAATCTTCAAAATTCCAAACATACATACGTACAGTTGATCAGTATTTAAAAAGTGATTTAGTTTCCTCACAAAAACAACCAATCTGTTGCCAATATGAAAGTTTATTAAGGCAGACAAGAAGCCGAATCTATATCAATCGATTGAGACTAATTTACTAATTTAGAAAATCACTTTCTTAAATTAAAAACTTAACCGAGATAGAATACGTAAGGTAACAGATCCACCTGCAAAAAAAAGATTGACAAGCGTTCTCCTCCACTGACTCCTCCCAAATCCCAACTAAAGAACTTGACACTGCTGATCACCACCACCACATCGACTCAATAATGAGATGCATCTTTGCATAGTAATTTAAAGCTGGGCAGATATGGCAAATCCAATTTCTTAGCTTGTCCAATGAGCCGGAACGTACCAAGTTCCCTCAAAGATTTCTATAAAAGTAGGATTTTGATCACTTTCATTGCATACTCTGCGTCTCATCTTCTTCACCGTCGCCCGTGCAACAAAGCTTGTGTAAAATAAAATGACAGAGCGGAGGCGAATGTCGGATTCGGCTTATCTTTTTAGCTTCGCCGCTGTGATAAGTGTGGTTTCATTGTACACAAATGTGCCCCAAGTTCAAGCCATTGATCCCACCGGAGTGCCACCACGACCCGCTTTGGTCATCGTTTCTAGTCCTCCTCCTACGCAGAGAATGGGAGCCGACGCGTCTTCTGGGGGCAGACGGGTTCCTAAGCAAGTTGGGACTGTTGGAGGTATTTAAAAAAATAGACTGCAATTAATTCCTGAAAATTTTCGAATGACACTGAATTTTCGATATCAGGTGCGCTTTTGAACAATGGAAAAGACCAACAAGGAGCGGCCGGACATCATCACGACCATCATCATGGTTTTGGTGGTGGAGGGGGTGGAGGTGGGGGAGGGGGGATGGGAATGGGCATGGGGATGGGGCATGGACATGGAGACTCCAAATATTTTCAGTAAGTTGTACTCAAATTTTATATTCAGTGGCCGCAGAAAGGACAGAGAGACAATGTCCCCACGGTTATTCATCATCTGTCCATGTTATGTAAACCCCTCCCTCCCCCTATCCTACAATGTTAATATCCCCACAGCTTCCGCGGCCACTGAAAGTATTTGTAGTGCTGCCCTAAAATCAATTGAGTGAAGGTGGATGGATGGCTACATTATAAAACACGGCCCCAACAAATATGAAGCCGGTCACGTCGGAGAGACGCCGCACGGTTGGGAGTCACGTTATGAACGTGTCGATGGAAATGTCAAGCAGGGAAAGGTGTGTACTAACAACTTCCTTGCAAATTTCCAGATATGCGCATAATCCGCACTACGGCGAGTATGAGTTTGGCTATCGGAGAGGAAATGACTACCATACTCAAGAAAGATATGAAAAGTACGGTCCAGGGTGGACATTTAAGATCAAAGTAAGCCATCGAACTTAACATAATTACAAGTGTTTTGTTAGAAATTCTTGCAAATGGAGTCATTTTACTCGCCGATGAAATCTACAATGTTTTTGAAACTTTATGAATTTACAGGTGAAATATCACGACAAGCATGGCCACGCTTATGGAGAGCATTACTGGGATTATAACGTGAGTTACATAAAGACATAATTTTAAACTCATACATAGATTAGTTTACAATGCAAATTATATAAGAACCCTTATCTTATCTGAGCCGAGATAATTGCTGTTACATACGTTACGTTTTTTCTTATTGATTAAGAACACCTTATTATTTACAGCACGCGGATCACAGTCATGGCGATTATGGTCATGGTGGGGGTGGTGGTGGTGGTGGAGGAGGAGGAGGCGATGGTGGAGATGGTGTAAGTTTACACACATGTACAGTTGTGCAATTATTAGTTAGATGCTTATCCAACCGTGGAAATGATTAGTATCAACTTTCCCTTTTTATCAAAACCCCAAAATGTAATGATGCGACGTGACAAAAGCAAGCTGTAAAAGCGATTTGTAAAAAATAATTTTGTACTTGAGTCAATTCCATTTTCATGCAAAAATTTTAGCAAAATTTGTGTACATATGTAAAACTCTTTAACCTGGCTTATCTCAAAGTATGTATGCATTTCGCAGGGGGGATCCTCAAGTGACACGGTCCCAAATTACCAAAGTTTATCCCACGACAATAAGAAATCATCAATGCTATCCAAACGAGAAAACCAACATAACGGAGAATCAAAACGTGTCGGTAAAAAGGACAAAATGCTGAACAAAGTCCAAAACGACAGCCAAACATCCCCATCAACTTATAGACGAAGCTATTACGACGAAAGTCAGTCTCAAATTCCCAGACCTACTTCGTCATCTTTGCTCCTAGACCCACAAAGTGGTCAAGTAATTGATCAAGTTACTGGAAAAGCTTACTGGTTGCAGCCTAAAAAGTAGTAACATAGCCTAAAAATGATGCTGCTTGGACGGACACAAATTCCATTTTAAGAAAAAAATTTGAGCCATTACCTGCACTTTCTTGAGACACGAGTTTTTTCACAAGATTAGTAAGTCTTTCTTGCACTCAGGACGGAAGTACTGCTTACCTCATTACCTAATTAATGGAATAATTGGGAGACTTTACAAAAATATTATTGATGTTGTATGCACACTGAATTTCTTGGTGTTGGACTATTTACGAACTTAATCTTAATAATCTCACATTTTTTAATGGCTCTCAACCATAAATTGTTGTTGATAGATGTGTATTGTACTTAATTATATTATGATCATTTAAGAAATTTCTGCACTTGTGCACTTTTCTGGTCTATTGTGCTATGCCGACTGTGACGCTATATTTTCTTAATTATGATGTTCACTTTTATGTATGACGAAACAATGCAATTTTTCCATTTGTGAGTTATATAAAAAACGAATCTTTTATTTGTACAAGCGTTTCGTTACCTTAAATTTAAAACAATTTTGTGAAAACTTTTTCAATTTGTTACTAATTAGTCAAAATTCGAAATTTTAACAACTGTGTCTTTAACAATTTTGTTGTTTAATATCTGATATTTTAAACAAGACTAGATTTTGTAAGATTGAAGCTGCTTTCACGCACTGGCTTCTGGATAAGCTGGCTAAGTTTTTGTTAACTTCTTACTTTCCGTGGTGCCCCTTGCCGAACTCTTGTTGGAGCCTGGAGTAATAATAATTTTCGAAATTTAGGAATATTCAATTAATTTCTGTAATGATTTTTTGAAACCGAGACTATTAAATTGAAATGCTTACCATGCGTATCTGTTGTATCCGCTGCCGTGCTCGTCAAGGCTGTACTGGGAAGACCATCTAGATAAGCATGAAAAATTACAAATTGTTGAAAAAAATTCATAAAAGTTGTGAGATTTTAGTCCAAATTTGATATCCAACTTACGGTCCATTCCAAGCTTTCACGTTGGCCCATCTGCACATGAAAATGAAAGTAAATTTTAATTGCGAATGCGAATTTTGCAATGAAAATGTCCAATTAATTTGTAATTAATTGCAAGTTAACTTTTAATTGTGAATTCTCACCCGTGGTATTTCTTTCCCCATCCCCCCCATCCTCCATGAGGGGAGTGACCACCACCACCACCACCACCACCGGCGTGTCCGGCATAGGCGACGGCCAACAAGGCGAGGACGGTGAGAACAAGGACCTATGTGTATCGAACAATTATTGTGTTAACAATTTTGATTGCTGAGTTTTTTTAATAATTTACAAAAAAACGAAGATTTCCGAGAAAAAATAAATTAAACAACTCACCAACTTGAGCATTTTGAAGATTGAGCAAAGAAAAACTTTGTAATGAGATGAGGAAGGAAGAAGTGATGGAAGCTGAGTGATACTTTGGTTTACGACGGATTCAGCTTATATACACGGTCAGGTCGTCGTATTAAGTCTCGTATGAAATATAATGCATGCAGAATGTTAAGATCTGTATGAATCTCACCGTAATGTGAAGTGCCGTTCTGTTATACAACAAAGTACGTTAAGTAATGATCTTAAGGTAAATATGTAGGTCTAAATAAGCTGCACTTGGTTGCAAACTATTAGTAAAATGCAGTAGCATTTTACTACTGGTTTCAATTTCATATTTTCCATTTCATGTTACATTTTGGCTCATACGCATGATGCATATGTTCTAGTGCATGGGATGCAGTGCAAACAAGATACCAGTCGATGCGTTACGACTGAGATTATTATGTAGTTATTAATTGTCGGAGTTACTGTAGCATTAAATCATTAAATTGAGACAGTGGTGGTGGTAGTGGTGTAAAAATGTGGCTAAAATGTATAAAATTGTATAACTTTTGATCCGATAGTGAAAATCTTCAAAATGTAAGAACATTTTTTTATGAAAAACATTTCCAAAAATGAAGATCAAACTTTAAAAAAAATGTTTGGATTGACTTCTCTGCAAAATTTTGATATGACAGGACGACGACGAAATTCGCGAAAAGGCAGCCAAATCCATAATAAAAGATTCATCATCCGTGAAATATAATTATTTTGTATTTGCCTATTGGCTACCTACTTCACCGCACTGAACTGCCTGTCATTATCATCGGCATCTTTTTTTATCAGGATCTAATATCATCAAGAGTTTACAAGTTTTATTGCTCGTTTCCGTATTTCACTCCTTCCCACAAATTTCCAATTAAGTAAATACAAATAACGAGCGTCTTAATAATGATACGTGAACGCTCGTTATTTTCGTATGCGCCACCAATTAAATGGATTAAGTGAATATTAACACTAAAATTATTATCATTATGAGTGAGCATATAGAGAGTGAAAATATCTGCATGAGCGAGTTTCATACAAATGCAAAGTTTGATACCATGTCATCACTTATGAAGAATTCAAAAATTCGCAAATATTTAGTGCAAACTGTATTATGCAATTGGCAGAGCATCATGAACTTGCATGCCTTAATTAACAATAGGAATGTCAATCTGGCGAATAAATATAACTTTTTATTTATACCACCACGATAATAACCGTGAAGTATGAAAGGCACATTTCGTTCGTTAACTGTGAAACGCATGAACCATAAAGAATTCCATTATTCTTTCGTAGAAATTAGTATGGCACACAGTTTAGCAGGGTTTAGATCATGATATAATTTATAGAAATTGTGAGAGTGTGTGTGTATGTCATGTCATGCAGTGGAAAGAAATGCGTTTTTGGCAAAAGGGTAGACTAGACAGACGAATGAAATAAAATTGTAAATCAAGTAAACTAATTTTTAGCCCGAGTCAGGGCTTATGTACCCGTCACGTCCGTCTGTCCGTCTGTCTGTCTTGCGATAACTGCCGTAAAACTAATCCGATCGACTTGAGATTTTGCACAAATGTAGTATGGGTCAAATGAGGAGTTAAGTTCGAAGATGGGCGAAATCGGTCAAGTGATTGACCGGTGGGGGTAATCGGAGTGGGTGGGGTATTATGCGCCAAATTTTCAAAATTATAGTAGGAAGCTGAAATTTGGTACAGAGGTTGATGATGGTTTCTAATGAAAGAATATAAAGTAAAATTATAAAATGTGCAGGGACCCTAGGGGGTGACCCATACCGATATTTAAAACTCATCCAATCGAGCAGAAATTTGGTACAGAGGTTGAAAGAATATGAATTTAAATTTGACACATTTTCATCCGTACAGACCCTATAGGGTGACCCATACCAATTTTTCAAATTCGTGAAATCGAGCTGAAATTTAGTAGACAAGTTGATAATTGCTACTAATGAAACAATATGAATTAAAATATGACAAAATTTCATCTGGAGGACCCTGTTGGGTGACCCATACCGAGTTTTTGAAAACCTCGTATCAAGCTGAAATTTGTTAAATAGGCTGCCAATTGTTATTAATCGAAGCATGTGAATTTAAATTTTTATATTTTTTGAAATCAATTTGCAATAAAATTTCATGCAAAAAGTCGGATTAAATGATAACCACAATTTTGCCTGACTCGGGCTATATCAAGTCTGCACTGTAGGTTTATAGTTTATGGTAGGCAAGAGATCACGATATTCGAAAATTTGTTACATGCGTTATCACCGTTCTTATCGATTTTTTCAGATTAACGAGCATTTTATTAGATTCGTCCTAAAAACTTATGAATTAGTAATGACAAAAATTTTAACTGTGGAGAGAGTTAAAATAAAATACATAAATTTAAAATTTAATAAATTAATTATATATTAATTATTATTAATTATTTATTTATTTAATAAATAAATTTAATTCTTGATATGAAATGACAAATGACTTTAATTGAGCAATAATTTATCGTAATTTTAATATTTTATATGGACAAGTGAAGCATTCCTTAATTATATAAGCTCGAAAATTGAGCAATAATTTATCATAATTTTAATTACTTTATGTCGACAATTCAGGACTAGTGAAGCATTTTTTAATTATATAAGCTCGGAAACTAATTTCTTCTTTCCATCACAATTATGTATCACAACTATTTTTATAAGAATAAAGACTAGCACACAGAATGATCAAAATTTCAATATTTGGCAATAGTTTGATGGCATTTTTTATAGATCAGGGAAAGGGTCCACTGGACGATACTGGGGCGGTGGTGTGGGTGCGCGTGGTTGGACATCGATAACAAAAGCGGGTGGAGGAACTACGACGATGTCACGATCGCGTCTCGGACCTGCTTTGGTCAGCAATTAGTAAATATTATTATGAAAGCTGTGTTATCAATGAACGAATTAAAATTTTAAAAAATGACTCACTCGTTTCCTCATTCACGCGTCCATCCGGTTGTTGGGTCATTAAAAAATACTGACCAGCTAATGCGGTAATAGCGGTCGCGATACCTTTGACGATGTCCAACAAGGAGATTCCTGTCACCATTGAAATTGTTCCTCCATTCAAACCTGGTGAATAAATAATAAATTAGGCAAAATATTCAATTAATTCGAACCATTTAATGATAAGTGATGCTTACCAGTTACTTCAAACCAATTGTAACGCGAGCTCCTTCTCAAGGCTTGGACAGAATCCGTTTCAAAGTACACGCGAACAATAGAAAAGCTGGCTTTATCACTAAAGCAGAAAAAATAGTCAAGTAGTATCATCTAAAATTTGTATATTGCTAATTTTTGTAATAAAAATGCTAATAAATTATCGTACGGTATGTTCCAGTCCTTCATGGTGGTTTCGGACATGGGGCTCGAAGATATCTTCATCTCGTATTTTGTATCCCGACAATTTGGACGACATTCTTGACATTTCGTTGCAAGTCCTTCCTTGAATAAGGTTTCTGGAATAAATTAAATAACATGCACATATTTAAAATGTGTTAATTTTTGTTTTTCTACACTTTACGTACGTTCTTGCTCATGGACGCAGGTTTTCATTTCGTTCACTGTACACAATCTATGCCCAGGTTTTCCTACACTTTAAGTTAAATATTCAATTCTGTCAAAATGGGAGCAATTTTTTGTCTGTTAAATATACCCGGATAAGTGACCATTGTACAGTTGCAGGCTTTGGTAACTTTTTTTGAGAAACATTCGGACAAGCAATTCTGCTTGGAATACTTTTTGTAATATTCTAAATGAGCCATGCCACCTTCGTCGCTGAAATAACAACGACGGTTACTCTGATCAACGTCTTCCTTTATTTCACCATCTGCCAAGTAAACGGTTGGACGCACGGCGACGTAGGCTTCCACGCCAAACGCGATGGGAGCCCCAAAACGGTGTATTTGAGGTTCGTCAAACGGGTGATTTACCTCAACCTGAAATTCGCGATAATCAAGTTAATTAGCTAATTAGTGATAATTAACTAATTCGCAACTCTATCTAAATGCTAAATAATAAAGTCATTTCACATCTTTATTTTATTTAAATGCTGACTAATCGATAATGCTCTTTACCATGAGACCAACTCCTTCACCGTGGATGCAGGCTTCTTCGTAATAGTCTTCATGTTTTATGATGAAAGTTAACCCGGAAGTTTTACCGGGGAAATATTGCTTCCAAGGAATTGGAATTGTCCTATTTTGTGCTTTTTCGGAAACAGCGTCGCTGTCTCGATCAGATTTTACCTGTTCCCATTCATTGAGCTCGTCATCTTTATACTGATGTCCAAATGCTGATTGTAGCGTGTCTTTGCTAGATTAATACAAAATATTTCGGATTATGCAAAAAAATTCTGAAAAAATAATTTTGACTAATACACGAAATAAATACACCAGATAAGCTAATAATCTCACCCTCTAGTTGCTGCGGTTGGAATTCCGTTAAAGACGCAAGTACTTCCCCACTCACAAGGGACACTCACAACCTGTCGTTTGAGTCCAGGGTACCCACCATGTTTTTTAGAATCTACTAGGACCCCAGATGAAGGATTCATTCTTATTTCCGTGTAAAACTCATATTTGGCCCAATGGCGTGGCGCCAAACTTAAAAATTTGCATTTTCGACCAATTTCAAACCCCCATAACTTTTGCAGTTTATGTCGGATTTTTAAAATTGTATGCTTAAAATGATCAGAAAAGTCGAAATTTTAGAGAAAAAAATAAAAATAAAAAAATTTTAATTTTTGAGATATTTTTAGCATTTTTTCGACGAACCCGAAATTTCGAAATTTTGCGAAAAGTTAAAAGCGATAATTTTGGAAAAAATTTCATAGAATACGAAAGTTGAACTCCTTGTCATGATTTTTGCCAAAAATTTTGAAAATCCGTCCAGGATTTCAAAAGTTATGGCGGTTTTAAAATGAAAAACCATCAAATTTGGCGAATTTGGCGCCACGCCATGACGCCAAATATGAGTTTTACACGGAAATATGAATGAATCCTTCATCTGGGGTCCTAGTAGATTCTAAAAAACATGGTGGGTACCCTGGACTCAAACGACAGGTTGTGAGTGTCCCTTGTCAGAAAAATGCTCTTTAAACACCTCCCCGCAATCTAATTCCACTCCGTTGAGAAAGCATCGTTCAATTGCTTCCGAACAGTTCACCATTCCCTGCGACAAAAAGCAAGAGAAAGTGCATAAACAGACGTTACAGCCAATGTAACTAAGGGGTGAAAGCAGTGTCATACGGCAAATGAATATCATATTTTGGTCGCAAATCTGGTAAAATTGACACATACAGATGACGTGTTTTCTCATTTTGCCTCAATTCCATACGCACTCGGCGAGAAATGGGTGTGGCAATTTGGGACCACTGATTAACACATACTGCTAAGCAGATTAAAAATGTTGCGACGTTCAAAAGTCATGTTAACTTAAGCATTTCATCTTTTATTTTACTGGGGGGTGTGACCAGGGAGTTCCCAACAAAGGACTTTCACCCTTTAATATATTTAGCGCAAGTATCCACAAAATAACTGCACTTAATTTTCCCAATTTACTAACCTTTCGAATAAATGGGGCGACTTTTTTACTCATCAGTAGTTCAGTGTCCATTAGTTTTTCAGTCACACCAAGGTAATTTCCTAATTCCCAGTTAGTTTCATCGTGGGTGACGTTATTCAAACCAGCAAAAGTTGTTTTGAGGGAGCAAACTTGATCAATGATTTGAATTGCTCCGGCAGCTTCATTTTTCGTCCAATTATAAACATAAACGTTATTTTGTAGGCGCCTATAATTTCTGTGGGGTATTGAAGAATATAATTAAATGTCTCAAAACAATTACTAAAATAATATTATGCTTACGTATATGCATAATCGATTCCGCTATACTTGAAACCCCCCGGAGGAGCAACGGTGACCCTGGGAAATATAACATTTCCGATGTACGTTTCCTGTGTTTCAGGGTTAACTACTAGCGGATGGCCCATTGTTCTCGTCATCCCCATTCGAACAATGACGTACACAATGGCACTCAACAGCACAATAACGATCATCCAAAACACCCTAAAACAAAAGGAAAAAACGATATTCATTGAACGAAAAGAAATACTTTCATGAAATTACTCTTGATTGAGGTAATGACGAAGCAGTAAGTATTTTACACTTTTAAAAAATTGGGCACTAATTGACCTTGCGATTATTTTGGCACGTGAACAATAATTTTCATAAGCTGCAACTGGGTAAAATAAAAGAAGCAGTTTATTATCAAATTCAAAAAATAATATACTACAATTTATTTGGTTTTAGCTCAACTTTGTGTCGTCCCTTGCAAATAATGAAGCCTACATTAACGCATCTGATGGCAATGCTACTTGTCAGTTGCATTTGTCATGCAACGCATGACGATGCACGAGAACATAAGGCAACTGTGAGGGACTTTGACCGAGTAAATGTTGTATTTGGAGATTCGGAACCGGGTTGTCTGTGTCCAAGCGATCTAAATTCGACGGGAACTTACATTTTTTTCTGTGGTCATGAGCTCAAACCAGATAAGTGTCCCCCGGAGGCTATTGTGCGATGCGTGAATGGACGGAAAAAAGCAATTCAGATGAAGCAGTGCTCATCAGGGCAAAAATGCGGCCCAGAGACTGTGCCAAAAGGGGGTCATTGCCTTCGCTGTGAACGTCATAATTCAAAAGCTTGCCAGTAGACCCTTGGAGAATGATGGAGACGCAGTGTGCATATGTATTAAATATTGGATATGTAGAAATGATTGGTTTAAAATTTTACGATTTAAAGTCATGCGAATTTCACGCACCTGTAATTGATGCAATAAATATTATCGATATGGACTTGTATTATACTGCTTTACTTTTTTGCCTGTTTACTTTTCTATTTATATCTTTATAAGCATATTTTATAATTTATAAGTACATTTGATGTACATAAACAGTAATCCTGGGATCAGAATTTAAACAATTCCTAATCAAAGCCGATATACATCTGCCTTTGCATACAGTGCAGATGCCCATTATGATTATCATTTGTATAAAAATATCAACAATTTAATACCAGCTCACCTCATCGTAATGGGTATGTTGTCTGCAAGGCATTCCCGAAACCCAGGCAAATTCTTGAAGGCTTGAATGAGAAAATTCCCCTGGTTGGGTTGGTATTCCGACCGGATGACAGATTCGCAACGGGATCGACTTCCTGCGCAGCATTCTTCCATCATATCAATTGCGACGTGGTCCCTTCGGGCGGGGGGAGGAGGAGTAGGAATAGGGTCAGGTACAACCGGTCCCTCTGGCCCCATGCCCATGGCAAACTCAAGACAATGTCCCGAATGTCGACGCATCTTATGCAATTTGCGAAGTATGAAATTATGCAAGTTGAAATAAGCAGTCTTTTTAAAGAGATCGTTAAATTCGTGTCGCCCGTGTCAATCAAAAAAATATGAAACTGCTCAAAAACTGGGTGCAGAGTTGTGACGGTGTGAGAGTTTCTTAATTTAGAATTCAAATTATAAAAAATATTTTCTTGACTAGATAGACAAGGAGGATGAGATCACCAGGTGAAAGTGCATAAGCAACTGACATGAAATAGATACCAATTGGTTCATATGTAGCACCTGAGGATGACCAATGACGATACATAACATGAGTCATGGCGTTGTGGTCACACGACGCCATCCAAACAACAGAACTGAACAAACGGCTTTTATTTCAATTTTAAAACCAGCCAGATTGACATATAGGCCGAAATAGGCCGAGGTCTGCAGGGGAAGGATTCCAATCCTCCAACCCCGGAACCAACCTTTTGTTGTTAGTGACAACTTGTCACGGTTTTACGGGGTTGGTGCAAGTACATATGAAAATTTGCTGGATATGGATGGCACGCTTGGGATTGTGGTCCTTTGTTCTAAGAAATCCATATGTACAACATCACAAAAATAAGCTAAGAATACGTGGCAAATTTCTGTACGTTCTTAAATACTTCCTCTTTTAAAGGTATATATGCAGTAGAATTGGAATGGAATTCGATCGGCTTGATACATGGACAGCTTTATTGCTATGGGGCACCCCTTTACTAAATTTGCGTATGCAATACACAGTTTTCCTTTGTAATCAATGCATCAATATAATACAAGGTATGAACATATCTGAGGGAAAGTTAGTCAGTATTAGCTATACCTTTTGTCACGGTTTTACGGGTTTGTTTAGTGGACATACGAAAATTTACTGGGGGGATTGCATGCTTGGGATTGTGATCTTTTGTTTTAAGAAATAGCGTCGTAAACAGCTTACGGTAAACATAAGGTAAGAATACGTAGAAAAATTCAATATATCGCCTACTTTCTTAGATACACTTTCTCCCTTAGAAAGACTAGTTTTATATGTACTTATACCTACATATGCAACACAATTCAAGTGACATTGTGCTCATCCTCAGTTTTGCAAGCCATTTAGACAACATTTGTTCGTGTTCGATCTGTTTTCAAATAAGAAACAAAGAAAAATAATGATTCATCCATGCAAAGCCTGCTCAAACCTTATCGATTCATGATTCATGAAAGTGTAGCTTTACAAAGTGTGTGCCATGATAGGAATGCTAAGGACTTTTTGCGAAAATTTTTGCATATGCAATGCATAGTATGCATACCTACTTTCACCCTCTGTCAAGATGAAGATTCAATTTCCTCCATAATATGCCACTAAAAATTATCTAATTGTTGACCAATTATCAATATTTTACATCAATTTACATGATAAGACGACAGGAGCTCGGTAGCTGACAATAGGATCACATAAAATAGAGCAAATGCCTTCTAAAAATTTATTGCATAGATCAGGTATTGCATTTTACAGGAATAACAATACAAAAGATTTACGCATATTATTACTAAAAATCAAATGATGCAAAACCTACGTGAAAAACACAAAATACATGTTGCATGCATGCAAGTTAGTAATTATGTATACTAATTATAGTGTACATTATTATACAAAGGCAAAGGTACACAGCTAGATTATTTTTATCATGAATTTTGATCACAATATTAAAACTATTAGGAAGAACAAGACAAAGTACTTTCTATTCTCGTGGTCTGTTTTACGAAGATGTTGAAGAATATGAACGGGATCTTGACCGATGTCGACTGGATTTCTTATCCTTTTTCTTACGCTTTTTGTCCTTATGCTTATCGCGATCACTTCGTCTACTACTACTGCTTTTACTGTCTTTGTTAGTTTTGGACCTATTAGAAGTTTTGGAATTGACAGAACTACCCCGACTAGGGGGACTTTGGCTCTGGGATCGACGACGAGGAGACCGCGATTGATGTCGCTCCAACTTGGTTTTGGGTTTGGCAAAACCGTTGTCTTCTTCTTCGTCGATAGAAGAACGTTTGATGTCTTTACCCTTCTTGTCTTTCTTCTCATTATTACTTGCACTTTGTTTCTTGGAGTGGGAATCGTGATCTTTTTTGGGGGAACGAGATTTTGATCTTTTATGATCATGTTTATCTTTTCTCTTTTTTCTCTCGTCAGAGTTGGATCGTCTTTTTGACGATTTGGAGGAGGAACTTGTTTTGATTTCTTTGGATTTTGATCGTGAGCGAGATCTTGATGATCGTTTAGTACGTCTGCTGCGGTCTTCCCTTGATCTCGAACGATTTCGACGACGAGATTTTGAAGGCGATCGGGATTTCGAGCGAGACTTTGACCTCTTCCAACGACGATCGGACGTAGACCTAGATCTGGAATAATTGCGACCTCGAGATCTTGGTCTTTCTCTTTGATTATTACGCCTGCGACTGTTACGGGATGTAGATCGTGATCTCGAACGGGAAGGTGACGAACTTCTGCTGTTATGTCGACGTTTTCTGTCACGGCGACGTGGTGATGATGAACGAGAGCTAGAAGCTCTCCTTCGAGACCTGGATGTCGATCGGTGGCGTCTGCTCCTACTGCTTGTGCGTTCTGGCGAAGAGGAACTTGACCTTTTTCGTTTCTCTTTGGATGCTTTTTCTGATTTCTCCTTCTCGTCGTCTTTAGTGTTTACTGGCTTTGAAGAAGAATTAGTGTCATTCGGACCTATTGGAAACAAACAAATATCGAATGTCAGAAAGTGAATGTTAAAATATTTCTCGTGCTGTGATTATTATAGAGCCGGATTAATTTTGAGTATTATTAAATTATGCAATGTGAAATGTGAATGTCCTTATATGAGATCCTTTTGTATGCTTGTGTATGGGACAGCCGACATAATTGTTCTAAAAAATTGCAAAACGTTACCTGCAACAGTGCTGGACACAATAGCTTTGTCTACCTCTTTCACTTCTTTACTCTTATGTGCCTGACTTTTTGAACTAACACCACCGGACTCAATTATTTCAGACTTTTGTGGGGGCTGCGTGCGTGAAGAACTTTCCTCGGTATCAACAACAGACGAAGATCTTGAGCGTGAGTGATGGTTCAACTCCAACTTTTGTAACTCCCAATTCCTTTTCTTCCTTTCAATTTGAGCCTACAAAATGTATAATTTAAAATATGCTAATTTAAATGTTGGTTCATTTTAATTACCAAAAGTTCCTCATCAGAGTCGGCGCTATTTCTGTCATCCTCCTCCTCGTCAGCAGATCCTTTATTGTCATCAACCTCAGATTTGCTAGATGCGTTAGATTCCTCCGAGTCTGATCCATATCCACCAAGGCCCAGATCTATTATTTTCAGTATTTATCATTAACAAGTGACCGATTTATATGTCAAGGCTAAACACTGACAAGCACAAGGAGGAAATGCCAGTAATATAAGTTGTTTTCTTATTATTGGCAGAAATAAGGTGGAAACGGGCTGTGTACTAATTCAACCCATTTGCGAAAGCTGATTGAAAACAAATCTTACCAAATCCCCCAGCAATTGACGCGAGGGCACTCGTCTTCTGGATTTGAATGGTGGAAGAAGTCACTTCATTCATGAACAAAATGACACTTATACAAACTTGGAAGAAATATGTGAATGTAAAAGTTTTTTTTCTTATTCAATTTAGTTCAATTAGTTTTTGTGCATATCTTTTCTAATAAAAATATAGCCTAGATAGAGATCTCGGTGAGTATATAACAGATTAATATCACAGTCATGTTGTATTACAAGTCTTATAAGTTGCCTATTTTCTCAAACATTTAATTATCCCATTAAATTAAAGCTCTAACTCCAACTCACCACCATTATTCTTTGAATAAGATTGACTAATACTGTGATTTTTCTACCTTTCTTACGACTTTTAGCTCGATTATAAGCAGTTGTCGCGGCATCAAGGATCATCGCATTGGTCACGGTAACCAATACGGATGTGCTTACTCGACGAATAGCGTACATCTAAAATTTCACAAAAACAAAATAAAAACAACCAGTATTGTTATTATGTTGGGCCAATTGAAGTGAATCAAGTTGAAATATAATATGAATAAAATAGAATATGTAAAAAAAAAATTGTGAAAACTTGCAATAGCATCTTCTCGCTCGTCTGGAGGTAAGTTTTTCAGCACGCTTGCCAACGTTGGTTGTTCTTTCTTGACATTATTGTTCCGCTTATTATGGTAACTAGCTTCATTGTGGTGGTCGTCGTCGTTTTCGCCTTCGTCGTCGGCGGCAGAATCTTCATCGTTAGGCAGAGGTTCAGACTCATTCCATTTAGAGTTGTTTGGATCCGATGCAGATTCCTCAACTGCTGCGTTGGCTTCTTGCTGTTCAAGTAAACGTTTCCTTTGTTCTTCTTTCTCTTCGGCTAATCGAGCCTCTTCTTCTTTCTTCTTTTTCTGACGCTCCATTTTCTCCAATCCTTCCCTAATCCAGACGGGCAAGGTTTTCCTTCTCGCAGTCTCTGCATAATTTTGTTGGTGCATGCTATTATATAGTCAACGTAATTTTATACACAATTTTGTACGTACCCATGTCAGACATGGAGTTATCATCGGATGAATATTCAACAGAAGCAGCCATTGACAAATAGGCAGAATAAGGCTGGGTAGACTCCAGACTAAAATCAAGACCAGAATTGTCCTTTGACCCATTATCATTTGATGACCAGTAGCCGGCGGCATTTGTAGCTGCTCTGGTTTGCTGTTGTGCGTTATAATACCCATAATCCGTGGTGGCTGCCGCTGATTGAAAATTAAATTATCACAAGTTTAAATAAATAATAAGGAAGCAATTATCAATTGTAATTTTAGCTGAGCATACGCATATGTTGTTTATTTTGCTTCATCATTGGTCGAAATTTTTGCTGCCCTTGCATAGAAGGAGGAGGAGATGGATGAGGTGAGGCATTAACTCCAAAGGCTGCCTGAATTTTAGCAAGTCTATTTTCACCGAGTGGGGTATTATTGGCGGATGACGTCCAAGGGTTATTAACTTCAGGTGAATACCAATTATTTTGTGCGCCTCCTTTCCAGCCGTCATTATTATTTGCTTCTGAAATTGACATATGCACGATATTCAATATCCAATACACACCCACAACAATATCGATAATTAATAATCACATACTGTGCTGCTGTTGTGGTGGATCTTGTTCCAATGATTCCAATTCCATTGGAGCCTCTCCAATAATGTCTCCAACAAGTGAAGTAGCATTTCCTCCTCCTCTAGAACCATCATTACCATGATAGGAATGCGAACTTTGCGCCACACCAGGAGGACCTTCATCAACAATTTGCTGGGATGCCATTCCCGGATGAAATTGGGGCGGGGGTTGCTGCATTAAGGCGTTGTTACCAAACATATTTTGGCCTGGATGTGGGGGGTGTGGCTGATTGATGAGCTGCTGTCGAGGAACACCCATCATTCTCATATTTGGTGGCATCGGCATTGGTGGCATCCCCATGTGTTGAGGTGGTGGTGCTACTGAAGGATTTTCCGCACGTCCTCCTCCAGCCCCCTTTAATATCATCGATTAATTATTTGCACCTTTAATAATCATACTAATAATTAATTAATCATACCTTTAGTATCATCCATTGCTGCGCTAAGGCTGCCCAATCAACTGCGATTTAACAATGAAACAAAGTCAATGAATGTTTAGAATTTTTGCAACTAATTTATTTATATAAGATCCAAATTGAAATACCTTGATTGTGGGGAATATTTGTGTAGTGATTAGGATTTAGTGAATATTGTGACGAATCACTGTTTTGTTGTCCCATCATTTGCGGAGGAGGTTGCGACCAAGGATCGCCTCCACCCCCGGAAGGCGGAGGACCCCCAGGACCAGCACCCCACATCGCTCTTCAGCCCAGCCAATCACCTATGTTTTTGTAGATAAGCGCTGTCCAAGAAGAATTAAGAATCGATGTGATGAATATTTTATCAAATTACACAAAATGTCCGCACTTAGGCTCCGATTTAAAGCTTTAGTCTTCACTTGTATCAATACTACTGGGTCTCCTAAATGCAATCCTTTCAAGTTATCAGCGTCAAAATTAATTTAACCACATTTCAGAAATTAACCTAAAAAGTCGAGTAAAAAATCAACTTTCAAGTCAGCATCCGCACTCCGTAAACTGCACTAAAAAAAGGAGCCGGCTCTGTCCAAGTTGCAACAAACTTAAACCGGGAACGATGTGAGACACGAGTAAATATTTATTTACCTTTCAAGAATCTGGAAATTTTTGAACAGAAATAGGTTAAAAAAATAGAATTATCAAAAATGTTGCGACGAACATTTGTCACGGTCGGACGCAGAACAATACGCTTATCGGTGTCGCCAGCAAAACAAATTTCGATAAGATGGATATCTTCAGCTACGCCGGGCCAAGAAAATCAAGGTTCTCAAAATTCTTCGAAATCTTCTTATGGTGGAGACAAGACAATTAATGCAGACGAGGTTCGAAAGTTTGAGACAATGTCGTCCTCCTGGTGGGATCCAAATGGGTCGATGAAAGAGCTACATTCCATGAATAAACTCAGGTAAAAAAGCCAATCTATGTACTTCTACTTTTACGAGGCAAGTTAAAAATGTAACTAATTTGCAATAGGGTACCTTTGATCCGCGACGGACTTCTCGAACAGACCAAACAGACGTCACGCTTCAAGTTGCCGAAACCATTGGAGAATCTAAAGCTTCTTGATGTCGGGTGTGGTGGAGGGATTTTATCAGAGTCTTTGGGACGGCTGGGTGCTTCAGTTCTAGGATTGGATCCAGGATATGAAAATATCTCCGTAGCAGAGCTTCATCTCCAACTTAGTCCCGATCTTATAAGAAACGTTAGCTATAAGTGTGACACGATTGAAAAATATGTGGAAACTAATTCAGACGCAAAGTTTGATGGGGTCGTGTCATCAGAAACAATTGAACATGTGGATAACCCAGAATTATTTTTAAGGATGATGGGACAGTGTTTAAAGGTGGACAAGATTTATGTCATCATAATTAAGACAAATTAATAATATTGGTTATTATTATACTTGTTCCAGCCCGGTGGCTCGTTATTCTTGACCACGCTAAATCGAACGTTTGAGTCGTGGGCTGGAGCTATTGTGGCATGGGAGTACTTTCTGAGGAAACTTCCGGTAGGAACTCACCAATGGAACAAGTTTTTGACGCCGCAAGAAATTCAAGGGATCCTAACAAATAGTGAGGATTAATTTTGTTGCATTATTAAATTTTGCAAATTTTATTTAAATAATGACATGCATACATATATTTAGATGGCTTCAAAATACTCCTTATTCATGGAATGTGCTACAACCCTTTGTCAAATCAATGGAATTGGTCCAATTCTACATCGATCAATTATTGTATCCATGCCGTTAAAGAAGAATAATTTTAGCCTATGCACTTAATTTTTTTTGTACCGACAATTTGAGAACCCGTTTACCGAATCAGTTTACTGAGTGGACAGTCCCTGAATTAATAACAATTTGTTTGTAGATTATATATAATAAGAATAATTTAATGATGATGAATTCCAATGAAAATGAAGTTCTCGGTGAAGATGAATATGATGAAAATGGAGATGTCGACGAAGAAAATATTAGACGACCGTTGCCACTTTGGGCGACCCCTCCTTGGCCTGAGTGGAGTGATTCAGCAATTGATATAGAAGTTTGGGAGGAAAATGTAAGCATTCAAAAATTTTGTTACTGTTCCAAGTTTTTAGATCGTTTGTAAAAATCTAATTTCTCTAATTTTTCTCTCTAGGAATCCGTTCAAAGATTCGTCGATCCCACCGGCAGTATTCTACCCCCAACCATCCGCCCCGTGAGATGGATTCGACCAGAAGCGTTACTAGAACCAGCAATATTAGTAGATTGGAGCGCAACAAAAATTGATCTAATAAACGCAAATATTCATATATGTGAAAAATCAGATATGATTCGTTTCATGTTGAGTGAAATCTCTGAATTGTACGACTACGGACTTAGCCATACTTTCCAGTTGGAAGGAGAAGGCACTGTGTTCATTCCAAATTCAGATCACCACAATGCTTCCTGGAAACCGTGGGATCACATATATAGCAGATGCAAGGCTGGCGTGAAAGGGGACAAACCGACGATGAACCGTATTGGAAAATATTATGTCCGATTGTATTTCATGGTAAACTCATGTCATATTTTTAGCAAATAGCACGATTTCATAGTTTGCTCCACTGTGTGTGTCTTCATTGTATGTCTGTCAGGGTGCTTGGCGTCGGATTACGGTGGATGACAGAATTCCGCTAATAAAAGACGACATATTAGGACTCCCAATTTCTAGCAGCAACGAATTGTGGCCTCTTATTCTTGTAAAGGCTCTAGTAAAGCTTGCATCCTTGTCATGGAGTCATGAAATTAGTGAAGGTCTTGACAAAGTCCACCGTTTTAGTACAATCTCAGCTCTTACGGGTTGGGTTCACGAATGGATAGATGTAGAGTGAGTATAGACATGTGTACATTTTTGGTTGAAAATCGCATCGCACTTTGAAAAATGTATTGTAATTTTCTCTCATTTTACATAACTAGGAATCCTATCAGTAGTCATAAATTGTGGAAGGAATTGAACGACATGCTTCCCAAGTACAATGGTCAAGCACAAATAACGTCCAACTTCTGGACGACTGGCAAGACGAAAAAAGAACGGACCCTAGAGGAAATTGCTGCCGACAAAATGAGAGCTGAAAAACAGTCAGAACTTCCTCATGATTTAGCAAAGCGCTGGTGGTATGCATTCAATCTAATTGTTCATTTTTTTAAGTCAAACAAGTATACTATAAATTAGTTAAACTAAATGTACAGGACCCTCACTCCTCTCGTATCGAGAGATCCTGACATGGATTACCTAGAATATTCGGACTCTGATGGTGGTGAATCGATTGCAAACGAATCCGAATATCCATCATCAACTGCACAGTCGCTTTTTTCTGTAAGCGAGATGGACGCTGCGGACGAAGCTGAAGAGGATACCGAGTTTGAAGAACTCGCGAAAAAGAAGCAACAAGAGATGACTGCAGCTCTAGCTTCGACGAAGAAGGTATTGCTTAATTACTATAACGCTATTACTCAGTTTATAGTGAAAATAATAAATACCCATTTGTTTGCAGGGAAAGAAGGAAAAGTCGAGAAAAAAACGGGGCGATAGAGAAAGAAGTAAATCAATTGTCGATATTTCAGCAATCATTGCTACAAGTGGGGAAGAAACTAAAATAGAGGATGCTCAAACCCTGAGCGAAACTGAAGCTGCAGAAGCTGCTGATGGTTTTGATACAGATAAAGACGAAAGTTCCAGGAGAGAAACGTCAAAAAGTTCTGGAAAGGTTGGTATATATTGCAAACTAATGTACATCTAGAGTGCTTAAAATACCAATTTATTCACGATTCTAGAAAGAAGGAAAAAAAGGTGGCGCAAAAAAGGACAAAAAGAAAAACTCTACAGACAGAGACAAATCACAAACGGCACTTATCGAAGAAAGCATGGAGAGTGTGGGTGGCCAAGTAGAATTTGCTGAAACTGGAGGACCTGGAAATGAAATTGCCATTCAAACTGGAATGGACGATTTAGACGGAGGTCAGAAATCGTTTCTAAAACCAAAGACAGGACCTGGAGGAAAAGGGAAAGCACCAGGAAAGAGAATGGAACGTTTATCCGAGAAAATCCGCAAAAAGAGAAGCACTCGCTTCAGCATGCGCATGAAAAAATTTCAAGACGTTGTTGACAGTATGCATATTACATCGGGAATACAATATAGCATTAAATTATCGCACTAACTGATATTCATTTCATACTGCACAGGTATTGTTTCTGTCTCTTTGGACGACGAAGAAACGGAAGACGAAACTCTTGGTTCACTTGAGTTCGTGGCTGATGATGAGCAACTTCAGACCAAAGCCCAAGGTTCCAAGGAGTCCAAAAAAAGTCGAAAATATAAACAGTCCCCCCCAACAGAACTCGCTCCCGTCCCACCCGTCGAACCTGCACCCGAGGAACCACCACCAATTGAATCGAAAAAACTGTCTTTCATTGTTTCCAAAGAAGTTGTAAAACCTTTGAAGCGAGTAAAAGTTAAAATTCCCATGATACAAGACATTTTAGCAGGAGTTCAAAAATATTTGGGGACGGATAACGCTCCACTCGTTGATGCATGGGAATCCATCGTAGGAAAAACTCTCCCGGATGCTATCACAGTCGTTTTGTCCTTGTATCCGAGAGTGGAGGAACAAGGAACCATTGTCCCATCGTTTCTATATCATCCCATTAATTTCGTCGAGGTGCGAGACACACCGTTAGCGAAAGATCCTGACCGTCCAAAAACTCCGCTGTGGAAGTCATTTCGCTGGAAGGGATGGGCCATGAAGAAAGGGTTGATACCAAGTACGAAGCAAAATTAAAAAAAAAATATGTAACAAAATTGTTAACTATTTAATTAATTATCTAGTGGAAACGGATCCTGACCAGATTCGATGTATCAAAGCAAAGACGCCATTTGCCCTCAAAACACATTGGTACCACTCCCGACTGGGCATGACCCATGTGGAAACCCTTACTCGAAAAAGTGAAGAGGAAGAAGAGGAAGAACATCTGCTTGGATATGCACCACAAGGAACTGCAATAGAAGATGTCTGTGGGGGTGGTCGGCCTCCTGGAGGATCCCCGGTGCCAGTTATCGAAATTGTCAGTGTTAATGTTGATCAACCAATAGTACCCACTCCTGGTGCTGCTCGAACTTCAGTTCCGCTCAAGACTCCAACAACGACTGCAGGAGATGCTCGACCAAAGCGACGATCTTCTGGGAAAAAATTGTCCATCAGTCAGAAAAAACTTTCTACTGGTTCCAATCCTGGTGGAGGAACAAAAGGGAGGAATTCTCGAAATTCTCACACCCCACACAAAGAAGATCCCCACAACCATTTGACTATTCATCCTTCTCACCACTCCACCCACTCAGGCGGCCTACATTCTCGACATTCTACAGGAGCAGGATTAGGCGGACACCATCACAAAAAACATGGTCACGGGACGAAAGGAGGAAAAGGTGGCAAAGAACGAGACATTTCAAACAGTGACGATGAAACTTGGTTGGGAGAAGTGGATGAGAACGAAAGCGCTCCGTTACCAACACCTGCTTCAGACATTGGTCCCATGGAAATTATCCCATCTACTGCGTGTGGTTCAGTCTGGTTTCACTGTGATAATGTTTCATCGTACATTCGGTAATTTTGCATATAAGCATAAACTGTATAAAAATAAATTGGTATCTGTTTAATTTTATGTAGAAAAATATGCAAATTCTACTCAACTCGTACAATTTTCGGGTCCTGTTTCACACTTCGTCGCAAACCGGAGTGGGTTGGTGAAACAAATACTACGTCACCGATCCAGATCACATTAACCCCGGACGAAATTCCTGATAAAACAATGGTTCTGGCTCAAAACAACTTTGCTGATCTCCACGCCGTTCCTGACAGTTTTAATCTGACCATTCAATTTGAAAAGTTCAAGGTTTTGAATGTTGAGAATTTTCATCTAGATAAAAGTGCTGGGGTGGAATCTGCTTTCTATTTGTGTACGCAAGATGTTTACCGAGAAATATTCATGTAATTGACACAGCTCTAATGACGCTTTTGTATTTGTTTACAGTCAGCGATTGTTGGATGGAGCAAGAAATTTTGATTTCATTGGATGTATTGCAAGCATTGGATATTACGGGATATGCCGAGAAAACGAATACCATTGCCTGGAATTGTACTTACTGCTAATTATATTTTCACTCAACTTTCTATTATATATTTATTGTATGTTCTATGTTAGATGCAGCAGAATCAGATATGTATAAAAATTCTCCCGAGGACGAAGAAAGCACAGCTCCCTTGTCGTCAGTCAACGTGGGTGTGGTCCTTGAACCATGGGATTGGAGGAAAGATTGTTGCATGCAAAAGCCACTGGTTCATTTCTTGACAGATACGCACTGGTCGGCTCATGTTACCTTGCGTCCAGGGTAAATAATGCTATACTTATCATCCAGTCTTGAATAATATTTCTTTCTACATGCGTAACATTTAATTCTTGAAAGTCGGAGCATGTTTCGAATATGGGTTGCTGAAAATCCTGAAGAAGGCGAAGGAGTCTATAACGCCAATCCGTACACGATGTCGCCATACGTCGTAAAATTTTCCGCCAAGACTCCTATACACATCGGACCCCGAGATGAAATGTTCAATTACATGACAAATGAACCTGTCCTACTTCTCAAGCAAGCTGGTACTATATACCTGCTTAATTGTACCTATTTAATTATAGTACTGACACTTGTAACTTTTATGTTTTTTTAGAAAACCTGGCACAAAACATTTGGACATTGTTCATTTTATTTGGACGACCTAAAGCGTCGTACGCAATTAGCTTGCGTAGTTTACACAAATCATACTGTCCATCATACCAAGAGCCCAATGTTATCAACAGAAAACTGAAAAACGTTCATGTTTCTTTCGAAAACAAGTTCCTAGCTTTGGTCACGGAATTGAACCAGGGACCACCGAACCGAATGATGATTCTGGCTATGAGATGCTTGTTCTTAAATCCGTCGGTACGAAAATGATAAGATTTTTTAAGTTAATTATGGTGTCACAATTAGAATATGTATTTTGTTAGTTGGGCGAAATTATTATCGACCTGGTACCTCCAACTCCGTCAGCAGAACAAGAAGATGCTAGTTTGTTACCAGAAGGAGGTGGTTTTGATATTACTGAAGCCAAGGAAGCAGCAACTCTCGTCATCCAGTCCTACCTCAGGGGATGGTTAGTTCGTCGACTGTTTCTGTTTAGGACGAAAGGACATCCGAAATATCCTCGGATTGAATACCAAATTCGAAAAATTGCATACTTACTGGCCTGCAATACTGATTCCACATTAACTCAAACAATCCCAGTGGTGGACCCAGTTGTTTCAACTGATGCGCCGCCTCCTGACCAAAAGGCCAAATCGGAACAAAGTCTTCTAAATATGAACAGCAACATTAGTCTGGAACAAGGTGAAGAAGAGAACGGAGAAAATACTGCAACTGTAGATCCTGCAAGTCACTCTGCGCCCGAAAGTTCCCCAAATGTTGCACCCACACTCGTCCCAAATCCACCAAAATGGGCAGTCAAGCTATTAAAGTATATTTGTCAATCGTATTATGCTAATTATTCAAAAAATATTATGACCTGTATTTTGATTACTATTTTGCAGTGATCTCTTAAAAGAATTCCCACTACTAATTTCCCTGTACCCGCATGCATACTGTCTGCCGCATCACGTCAGAATCCGTGACACGGAAGGTGTCATGCCGTCGCTAGCAAATGACTCTCATTGCGCCCCCTTTTTCCGGCGTGTAGTTTCCATCGTTGGAGAAGGCAATGTAAGTTCTTGTTTTGTAAGACATTGTTCTTGACAGTAACATGATGTAAAAATTAATTTGCACCAATTTTCAGTGGTGCACTTGCCTAATTCAACTTCAAGTCACTCCAGCCACCAATGTCGTGTTGAGAGTGATTGATAACGACACTGAAACATGTCTGGAAGCTCCAACATTGCATTTTTTCCTGGGAAAACTTCAATACAACAAGGTTCCCGAATTTTCCGCAAAATATTACGTTTTAATTGCACCACTAAAAATATTTTTGGTTACAGAATGGCTACACGATTTTGTGCTATCGTTTAATCAACGAATCCAGTTTCTCACCCGAACAACAGGAAGAAATGCCATTATGTCATCATTGGAAGATACGCATCGTGACGCCACGAATACAGGAACATTTAGTTTACGCAGACGAAATTCACCAACATCATCACCACCACCATCATCATCACATTCCTCCTCCTCCTCAAGAGAGTAGCACCTCCTAATATGTACACATCTTGGAAAGAAATCGGATTATTTATTTCTTCAACTTTCTTTCCTTGTGCCAGAACACTTGACAAACTCAACTCTGATTTTAGACTGATCTGCTAAAAAATAAACTGCTCTCAGGGACAAATTCTTTCTCAATTGGCACTTCTAATTGGCATCCTTCATCCACTTTCATGTAAATCGGGAGGAAAAAAGAGACCGTGAGATTATCATCACTCATCCCATTTTATCCTGCATCGTCCATTTTCTATCCAATTTCCAACTTCCTCCCTCCCTCCCTCCCTAATCTAGTGCCAATTTATTGCAAAAATCTTATTTCTCATCTCCTCCACTCCACTCCACTTTCAACTACTCAATTCTATTTGAAATTGTCGAAACAACATTTGAACCAAGTTCCTTGGAACAATTTGTCGATATTTTCTCCTCTTTGAGAAATCCGTGTCTCTGCGACTACTATAATATTTTCTATCTGTAGTTAACACGGGGGGAGAATATACACGTATAAAATTTATGTAGTCAGTCGACAAAGGAAATGACAAACGGACGAGAAAGAGAAAGCCAAGTTCAAGTTGCTGCTTCATCTCCTTTCAGTGAAAGGAATTAAGATGTAATCTAATGGGGCTGTAAATGTGTGAGAAATTGGCTCTTTTTGTGCTCCTGCTTTCACTCTCTGTGTCTGCAATTCCCCAATCCGACGACTTTTCTCTTCTTAGAGACCAGACCAGGCAATCCAATCCCATCCATCCATCCAATCCTCACTCACACACAAACCAGTTTTCATTCCAATTTAAACTCAATCGAGTTCAGTTCCATTTTGTTTGAATGTTGAGGAGAAAACTGCCACTTTATTTTTGTTGGTGTACGGTGTGTACATTGCCAAGCACGTTTCTCGGGGAAGAATATTCTCCCTTGATATGTATGTAAAAGCTCATTTATTGTCGGGTGTGCATGGTGAAAGGGTGACATCAGACATAATATAAGAAAATACAAAGGAAGAGGAGATGTTAAACTGCAGTTAAAAATCTGGTAGAGGAAGATATGTATGAAGTACTGGTATTGATTTGGTAATAAGTTCCTGCCGGATTGGTAGTAGTTGGTTTCTGAGTGGTCATTTTTTCATTACGGCAACATTACTAAATGATAATATCCGTTATTCAGGTACACATGGAGTAATATATGTATGTACTCTGGTCAGTAATGATTTAATACCAGTTTTCTAAGAGTGCATATTTAGAAAAATTAAGTTGTACATGTCAATTTCTAATGTGGAGAGACACCAATTACATATGTATACTCTTATGAAACTGGTATTAAGTCATTACATAACTCTACCGGCACTGGTAATAACTGACATTACCGTTTAGTAAAGTTATCGTAATGACAAATTTACCACTCAAAAACAAACTACTATCAATCCGGTACGAACTTAACACCAAATCAACACCAGTACATCGTATATATCTTCCTCTACCACATTTTTAACCGTGTATACATTCATGTATAAGAAATGAAGTAATTTCGTCAAATTATATGTCCATATTCATACAAAGTTTGAATTTCACTATAATTCTGGACATTATACCCGGTGAAAGTTGACTAGGTAGAAACTACATACAATCCCTAATGGAAAATATTGCCTGGAACGCCCGGATAATGAAATGGTCCGTCCGTCCTTCGTCCGTCAGCCACTTTTATGCCTGAGCAATTCCCACCGCATACAACACACTGCGAGAGAAAGGTAAGTAAATACAACTACTTTCTCTCCACGAGAAGTGGAAAAGGACACGAAGTAAATCTCAACCATTTTCACCAACCACTTCAACCACACAATGCCTGCCTACCTAATATCAATCCAACCAAACTGTATGCTCAATCCCACTTACTTTCACCGTTTACATCCAAACATTTCCCAAATTGGCAATTCTGCCGAGAACAACATTGTTAACAATAAGTTATGCATGTACGTTGGTACATGTAATTATTGAGATTATGCACATTTGTAGAGTGTACACCCACACAGAAATTTTATTTATTGCGTATTTTATGCAAAATGCATCCCATTCGTTATTTAGTAATGTTTCAATGTACGTGTGTGATCGGATATGGCGTATCTCACTAAAAATCTTGCTCTCTCTGGTGGTTTGGTTTTGATAAATTCGCAGCAGAAGAAGTTCCACCTCAGGCACACTTGGTACCCCGGATCGGCTTCTTGTAGTTGGACGGGAGCCGTGGCAGAGTCAAGTCGCAACTTTCTCCTCCATGCACACTTACTTTAACCCACGGAAAACAGAGCATATTTAAGTTGCACTAAAATTTAATAAGTTTCGGTGCTAAAATACATTCTAATAACAGTCTGGTTAACATTTTTGGAAATAAGATTTGTACACAAAAATATTTACAACAATTTTACCGGATTCGTTCCATGGTGTTTTTGGTGGTTAAGAGAGAGAGAGAGAGAGAGACCCTCTTCCTCTGGGGACATCTGATCTCCATCACGATCTCCTCCTTTCTCTCAGTCGAGATAACTTTGCTACTTACCTTCGCTGCTGTTTTTTCTCGTCTAGTTTATCCAACTCTTTAATTTTTTATCGTTCCGTATATAGCAGAGGAATGTTCGGGATGAAAAAAACTCGTGGTCGGTGAAATCATGATTTGCTGCGGTTACTTTTTTTCACTAGATGTTTGAGAACATCTACGACGACGAGTCGAGAACTGTTTGATGTTTGTTTTAATTGTGGTGAAAGTAGGAGAAATGTCTGAAAAACAAGATATCATCATCGCCACATGGTAGGATTTTTATAAGAAAAATACGGCTAAAAATAAATACGGATGGATTATGATGACGTATGATTATTGAAGCCGAACCGATCTACCCACCCACCAAAAACCAGCCAAAAATACTTTAAGGTAAGAAAAAATAGTTTCTCGGAAACATTTCACATCTCGTCTCCCATTTTTTGAAAGCAAAACTCACCCAAGTTTGAAATGAGTTGATTTATACCGAAAATCAACACTTTCTCCCACAACCAACCATCCCGGAAGAGCAGAGAAAGTGGAATTGAGAAAGAGAAAGCAAGCGAGCGACATTGACATGACAGAATTAGCTTGTTTTCTTCCCCTCGTAACAAAAAAGGAACACAAATCCTTTACAAGTGATCAAGTCAAATAATAAGCCACTTTTGGAGCCTTGTTGTGAAAGAAAAGTCAATATTATTTCTCCGATTTGTGATATATTTGTGTGATGGATGGGTGTTTCTTGTACCGTGAGAATCAACAAATCAGCCACTTTCACTCGCTCGCTCGCTTTCTCCTCTAATAATCTAATCTGATATGTGACGTCCAAACGAAAAATCCATGAAAACCACAAAGGTTTAATTGGTATGGAATCCTAGTTTCTTATTTTCCTCTGTCGTGTAACGAACCGGAGAAAGTTGATAAATTCAGAGAGCAAAGGAAGCACAGAACACGTGTCGCAAAGAGAAAGCAATATATACGTTTTGTAATCCACAAGTCCAAACTTTTTTATTATTGTGTAACATTAATCGAAATAATTTTGGCAATCCGTTCAACTAGAATAACGCAGAAAATTTATTACGCAATAACAAGATTAATAATGTATTGGGTATGTGTATGGAGGTATGTAGGAGAAGGAACAACTTTCACTGGTATATCTACGGTACTACAAGCAAATCTCGAGGTTTGTTCAACTCACTGAACTCTGTGCTAGAATTGGATTTGAGCTGCATTGCATCATAGAATTTTCAGAATTGAGACTTTTCCCTGTAACCTTCCGGTTGAGTGAGATTTAACACTTGAGCACATTATCATTATCAGTTTGGCTACGCGAGGAGTAAGTAGACGACGTGAACGTGGGATTGCGAGAATCTTACGGGATTCACGCAATTCTAGGTCTAAGGTTTGTAACGCCGATCAGTAGTATTGTATCAAATTCTGGGTAAACTACGTATTTATGTATGTATGTTTCTGAAAATCTCAACAAGTATGTTTAATATTTAATCTGCGTCTTGGGGGAATGCTGCATTTCTTGCACTACAAACCAAGAAACGCTAGAAATGAGAAATACAAGAAATTGGGAGAAATTGCAAGAAATTAAGAGAAAGTGTAAGAAATTGCGAAAAAGTGCAAGAAATTGGGAGAAAGTGCAAGAAATATATGCCATCTAACCACGCGCCATATGAATTACAGCAGCCGGGCCTAGTTTCTTGCGCCTTACATTTCTTGCAGTTCAAAATAGCTGCAAAAAACACTTTCTTGCCTTTTGGTTACTTACTTTCACCCGAAATACTGTTTAGGATCGACATTTTACTCAAACTATGACCTGATTTGTGTCACTTTTCTGCACTCTAAACAAAATTGAGTAAGTATTGCGCAAATTTGATCAAACTTAACACAACATCGGGTTAAAAAAGGGGATGACTCACCTTTCGGTTAAATTTTACTTCTCTAGGCTGAGTAAAAGTTTTACTCAACTTTTGGACAAAGCGTGCTCTTCAAGTCGTTGAATTTTTGTTACGATAAAAGCACAAAAGTTACACCATCAAATAGACGAATTTTGCTAAAGTAGTTGTTAAATATTTACTCTTTGTTCCAATCAAATTTTATCACATTCAGGAATGATAATTGCACTTTTGTATGATCGAATTTTGACCTTTTGATGATTATTGTTTATTCCATATGCTTACTAAAATTTGCTCTTTGCTTTATCATTGAATGCTCTTTAATTTATAATTATTTATTATGTTGTTTACTAGAGCTAGTACATTTATAATTTATAATGACAGTGATATTAATAATATATTACTTATATTACTGTACTTATTAAGCGTATTAACAATACTGACAATAAATAAAAATAATACCCGTACATAATACCCGTACGTCTTATTTTAATTAGTAAAATTAAATAATCAATCTTCATTTAATCCTTCGTCCATGGTGATTTGTGACGAAAGCGACAAGACTGAAGACGATGACGACCTAACTTTGTTAGTTTGGAAAACTGTGCAGTCGAAAAACTCCCAAACACTCTTACACTCTTCGGGAAATTTAAGTTCTAGGACGTAAAAGATCTTGAAACAGAGATCCACAGCTTTTACGAAAGACTCTGCAGCAATGAGGCGCCGTTCCACCATGACGAAAGCTTGTTGGATGTCAAGAAACTTCAAGTTTCCTATACAAATAACAAATGGCTGCGTTCTCACGGATTCTGCTAAACGAAATTCTTCAAGATCTTCATTTCTCTATAGTTATAAAAAAAATTATGTATATGTAGTTTAATTATAAACATACAAATCTATGAATTAATCAAAAGAATTTACAATTTACCTTTCAATTTATCCGTATATTGTTCCAGGCCAGTATCTCGAAGAATTTGCTCCATTATTGGACACGTCGAAAAACTTTCAAAAAAAGAAATAATTTATTTTCGTTGTTTCTCCTTTTGCTGGTAGACAGCAACTGTGGCATTTGAGCCACGCGGAAGATGGAGACGTACAGTGGGGAGAGTTGACTTTGTGCACCTGAAGTGTGACTATTACACCAAAAAGTTGACTAAAATTTAACTCCGCCGATAGAGCAAAGTTTACACCATTTATTGACAATGTTTAATCTAGTTTGGTCTGGTTTCTACCCAGAATTGATTAAACTCTATTTTACTCAACCTGAAGTCAAATTTTATCCAATATTGAGTAAACTGAAAATTAATCAACTCAACCGTGTAAAAATTGCACTCTCGAAGTTTTGCTTTAATTCGAAATTGTGGAAAATTTGATCAACATAGTTTTACTCAACCGGTTGAGCTCAATCTTCTTTAGAGTGTGATAATACGCATATATCATGTGGATGTCACAAGACATTCTATGTATGTACATCCAGTGATATTTATACACAGTAAATAACCTCGGGTGGGAGACGATTTATTGAAAAAATTTCTTGTCTTTGTATGAATCAATCGAATTGTTGATCCCAAGCGTTGAGGAAGTAAGTGGAAACAGGAAGGAAATGAAATTGATGGTCAAAGCAACGCAATCAAATATTTATTTGTGCTAAAAGAGGAAACCTTTTTGTTACGCTGCTTTGATTCGTTAGATCGCACAAAAGGAAATAAATAGTTCAAAAGGGATCAGAAAATTGTATTCAAAATAATATTTTAACGAGAACTTTGTCATCTAGATAAGTTATGTGGGTCGTTTTCATCAGATTTTTTGAACCATGCTGCAACTAAACATGCATGAATTTGTGCAATGGCCGCGGAAGCTGTGGGGACATCGGGGGACATTAGCCTTGTAGGATATTGCGAAGGGAGGGGTTTATATAACATGGGGAGATGATGAGGGCATCGAATAACCGTGGGAAAATTGTCCCTCTGTCCACACGTTTCCGCGGCCACTGCATCATGTTCATACATTTGAGTAGCCTGAATTCTTCCAGTGGCCGCGGAAGCCGTGTAGGGACATCTGGGGACATTAACATTGTAGCCTATAGGGAAGGGAGGGGTCAATATAACATGAGCGGATGATGCCGACATCGAATAACCTTGGGGACATTATCCCCCCGTCCCCACGCTTCCGCGGCCCCTGAATTTATGTATAAATTAATACATTCCCCACTGCAACCCAGTGGACTGGACACTGAAATATTATCCATTTCATAAGTACATATTGAGTACGGATTGAAATTCAAAATTCCCCGTTCCACCCGAACGAGTGCATTCATCGCGTCGAGATGCATGCATTCAGCCAGTCTTGCCTACTTGATTGATACCAAACCACAACCAACCACAAGCACTAGGAGGTCCGATGAAGTGCGAAAAGAAGCAAGTCAGGAAGTTATATGTGTTTGTGTGACGGCTGAAGTGAGGAAATCGGATAAATAAGAAGTGAAAAGTAAAAGAATTCAACTTTCTCTCCACACTTTCACCACCCAGCCAAGCACATCCATCCAATCCACCAACCAACCAGCGATACATACACCACCAGATCCAATCCAGCCACAAATTCACCAGAAAAAGCGTGCTATATCAGCACCACCACCACGAGTAGGAAATTTATGGGTGTGATGTGTGAATGGTGAGGAGAAAGTGGGAGGAAAGGAAGGAAAGGAAACGCTGCTGGCATAGAGCAACCATTGATATGGAGATGGTCATTGATTAGATTTTGGATTTGCTCATCTTCAATCAGTCCACCTAACGAAGTCCGGTTTTCGCCCTGGTCGTCCGAATTGAATGAGAGAGAGAAAGTCGGTGGTGGTGATGATGATATTTTGCTTCCATCGCGTCTCATCTTTTGGTCTTTTACATTGCAACACGCTTCAGAGAGTTCGACGATGGTGGAAAGGGAGAGACCATGCTCGAAAAATTGGGTATTCATCATTATTTATTATTATGAATTATGTTTGAAAGGATGAAAATGAATTTGTAATTGAGTCTGTGATTCATTTCTTTAGGGATGAACGAATAGTTAGGCTAGTATTATTACATAGAATTTCATAGAATCCGCATCGAATTGGATTTTTAGACTGACCCAGAACTTATGGAATCGTTCCCGGTGTGCCACAAAGGCTCTTGAAACAGTTGGCAAGTAGTCGCCACCGGCGGCAAAGAGTCGCAGATTTTGCCGACATCCAGCCGAGTACTTGCCACCGCTTTCCCGCCGCCATTTTCACTCGGCAAACCAGTGTATTTGCCGGACTTAATCTGTCTACTTGCCGTCGACGGCCCATCCCAGGCCATAGCAAGCTTTAAATGGTATTTAAGATTTTGCTTCTGGCCACATTCTTGCCAACTACGGCCCGACTCGAATGAGATACCAAAATGCCCCAACTCTTACTTAAAGTAGAGGAAACTTAAAAACCTCCACACCGTCAACATTCTGTCCATCAAATCAGTATTTTGTCTTTATTCCATTAAACGTACTTTGTCATGATTAAATTTGCAGTAGTTATATTTCCCGACGAAGATAACGCCATTGACGTTATATCGTCATCTTGGATTCTTCCGCCACTTATTGCAAATGGGGGGACCCAAGTGAAGAACTGCAGATATCCACCATCAAAAGTTCGAGGTGCAAAACTAGCCAAACTTGTTTGCAATCATCAACCCCCATCTTCGGATTGGTTGGTCTGTTCTTGTCGAGTTTTGAAAGAGTATGGTAAGCAGTTTGTTGCAAAAAAGTATATGGCAAAACTAATTACTTGCTGTTATCTATGTTATTTTCTAGACAATTATTTGACCGCCCGTGAAGCATCAATTAGGGCGGAAGAAACTTCCAACTTGGAGCCATCTTCCGTTGAGGAGGCAGATTCTAGGCGAATCCGAAAACGCATACAAAACAAAGTAAAGCCGCCACCGTGTAATTCCAATAGCAACAAGCTTCAAAAAATAATTGCTGTAGCCGAAGATTCTAGCGACGAATCCAACACGTTGGAGGACGACAACCCGACAACTTTTTGCCTTGGATTAGTTAGAGAAACAGGTAAACCGGAAGGGTGTAACCACTAGTTTACGTCGCCAGTTCATAGTTTATGTTAATTTAAATCATTTAATTAGTATTATAAATAATTATTAATTTAAGTTATGATATTTTTTTCTGTTTATATAATAGCCGATTTGGAAAGGGGCGGTTATGAAGGTGCAGCTAATGACAACACATTATTTGCACCACCTCATGGACAAATAGAAATATACCCAGGAGGAGGAGATCAAAACACTTCCGCAACCCACCAGGCAGAGGATGTCGAGTTTAAAAATCAGTTCGTACAGTTTCTAGAGGAAAATAGAAGTATGATAATATTCGTATGAATAAAATACGATTGTGTGTATTCTCCTTTCTATTATATTTATACTATGGAATTAACTAACTTTTTTATTAGAATTTCAAGATGCGGTGATTTCCAAGCTAGAAATAATTTCTAGTAAGTTGAAGCACATTAATCTTGGGACGACGTGTGCAAAAAATATTAAATTGACTGGAGCCCCGCTACTGCCTTTAACCAGCAAGGATGGTTTAGCTTCCCTCATAACCTGGCTTGGTATTGATAAAAATAGTGACCTAATGGTACCAGAGAATTTTAATGCGTACTTTATTTATTATGCGTACGCTGGGTATGACCTAATCTATTTATTAACGACAGATCGATTATCTAAGTCTACACGGAGGAGAAAATGTTTCTGCAGTAACCGGAAGCATTCTTTCTGAAATATTTACGAACCAGTTCGCAACAGTAGTTAGCTTTACTGGACAAGGACAAAAAGCGGTTTGTGGCATAAAGGACTCAATATTACCTAAATTAATCACAAGTACGTTAATAAAATTTATTCTCGAAACCATCTTATAATTAAAAATGATTAAGTGTTCTGCAACGATTTTCTAGAGTCGGTGCGGTCAAATAAAGGCTTTAGCCAAGCAACAGATTTCGAGGTGAAGCAGGCAATAATAAACTGGTTGAAGAACGCTGGTGACAGAGGTGGGGGCCGAGCAGCTCGTCGTCAACGTCATTTGACAGGATGAATACAGTCACCCCGAGAACGGAATTACGCCGCAGAAGAAAAGCAACATCACGTATATTGCAATTTATTAGAAGTAAGACGATAGGAAATACTGTGCCGACATTATTATTTAGTGAAGAAATTGTAGAGCCACCAGTGAATGTTCAAATAGTTGAAACTGAAATAAGTAGCGCTGAACCCTCAGATTTTGTATTAGACAACAGTCAAGTAAATGTTGAGTCAGATATCAATTTTCCTTTACTTTTGCCAGATAGTCTTCGTCTGTGGGCTACAGCACATAATGTTACACATATGTGTCTCCGAGAACTGATAACCATTATAAATCCACATATTAACAATATTCTTCCTCTCGATCCTAGAACATTAATGAAAACGCCACGACAGATAGTTATAGAAAAGCTAGGTGGAGGTGAACTAGTTTATTTCGGTATAAAAAAAGGTGTGGAAAGACGGCTAAAACTAAAATTATCGGATTGCAATTTTCCAATTATTAAAAAATGGCAGCATGAGTCTATTTCGAAAATTATTTCAATATCAGTTGGTATTGACGGGGTACCGATTTCTCAAAGTAATACTAAGTCGTTTTGGCCAATTCTTGGTATGCTGGACCAAGCTGTAGATTCAAGTCCATTTATTATTGGATTATTTTGCGGCATGTCAAAGCCAAAAGATACTTTATTTCTTAAACAATTTGTTGACGAAGCATTAGAATTAGAAAGGACTGGTATTTTATTTAAAGACTTACAATTTGCATTTAAAATATCTTGTATAATAGCTGATGCACCAGCTAGAAGTTTTATAAAAGGGTGCAAACAGCATAATAGCTACAACTCGTGTGAAAGATGCGAACAGGAAGGTGAATGGCTTGGAAGAGTAATTTTAAGAGAGACAGTATGTCCACAGAGAACGGATGATAAATTTATTAAAAAAACGGATGCAGATCATCACACATACGACAGTGAATTGCTGAGATTAAATTTAGGCCTGGTGTCACAAATAGTACTTGACCATATGCATTTAGTTTTTCTAGGAGTAACTAAAAAATTATTGAACATTTGGGTGAAAGGTAAATTGCCGCACCGACTTAGTTCACAACAAGTTTTAATTTTATCTAGAAATTTAATTCGACTTAGACCTTTTGTATCCCGTGATTTTCAACGCAAACCTCGTGGGCTCGACGAACTAAATCATTTCAAGGCCACTGAATTTAGACTTTTTTTGCTGTACTCTGGAATAGCAGTATTAGGCGAGACACTTCCACTAAATAAGTTTAAAAATTTTCTAAAATTACAAGCAGCGATGTCAATATTATTATCTCCTAATGCAAGTATAAAATCGTGGAATGATGTAGCCAGGTCGTTGCTCATACAATTCGTAAAAGAAGTTGAATTAATTTACGGTCCAGAATTTATGATATATAATGTGCATTCAATTATACACATTTGTGATGATGCATTGAATTTTGGTAATTTGTCCAGGGTCAGCGCATTTCCTTTCGAAAGCTATATGCAGAAACTAAAAAGCATGCTGCATGCTAAAAATTATCACCTGAATCAAGTAGCGAAACGCTTACAAGAAATTGAGGCAATTGATTTTGCGACAAAAATTATGAAATCTAGTACGCAACAGTTTTCTAATAGTAAATATGATAATTGTTTCTACTTAGGAGATGGTACTTATGTAATATTAAAATATATTAACCTATCCATAAAATATGCAGAGTTTTACGAGGTTATAAAACTTGATAAATTTCCGGAATATCCATTCAATAGCTTAACCGTAAATATATTTCTAGCTAAAATTACGACTAATGTGAGGATTGTTAATTACAGTGAAGTTATGTATAAATGTTTACTTTTACCTTATAAAAATATGTACTTGTGTTTACCACTTCTTCATACTTTAAAATAAATAACAAATGAAAAAGTAAATAATATGTGCAATTACTGGTGGCATTTGGATGGGTATAAGCATTTCCGCAGGTCTGAGCCATGGTCTTGCCACCGGTGGCAAGCCGGTATCAAGTTGGCGTGCCAACTGGAATACGAAGTTGGCCCGTACGCGATCGCCACCGCCAAGCCACCTATGGCCATTCGGACATTTCCTGCAGTTTGCCGACCCATTTTGGCCGCAGCTGCGCCTACTGCGGCCCTGCTAGTTTGGCAAATCGGGTTATGTCCGTCCGTCCGTCTCACTGACTGAACCGTTAATTAAAAATTGACCGAAAAAATCTGAAAGTTTGCATGTTGCAAATATAGATAATCTATATGGTTCACACTTCCTTTAGCCCGAGTCAGGGACAGAGTTCGATTCTTAATTTTTGTCCCACTTGACTAATATGTATTACCATACGAAAAAATTGCACAATAACAACACCACTTTTGTAAAATACTGGTTATAAGTCTCAAAAATAATAAGTTAGATACAAAGCAATGGAATTCGAGTTTAATTAATAACTGCAAAAGGAGAAAGTTATTATCTCGCACATATTGAAAAATTGAACATTAATTTGAAAAATATTGGTTACGGAGGCTAGAAAATGGTAAATAAAACACGTGAATTAAAATTTAATTAGCATCCCAAAAAATTAAAAGTCACTCGTTCTGGCTACATTACGTCTTCACTTTCACTTTCTCCTTGCTAATGAAACTAAATAAATAAATAAATAAATTTATTTTGCCTTTCCGTTTCTTCCCTCTTACTCAAAAACATCATTATTATTATTATTATGGCGAGGAAATCGCAATATTTGGGAAGGAATTAAGGCAGTGTTATCTCAATCCTTTCTCTCTCTCTCTCTCTGAGTAAGTTGTAATGAAAGAAAGAGGGAGAAAGCCACCATTCATTCACCCATTTATTTCACCCCCCAGATTTCACGTCTCATTGTCCACTCATTGTATTGTATTGTGAGCAACTGTACGACTTCACCCACCACGACCGACTCGTCCAACAAAACGAAGAATGAGAAGGATTTAGACTACTTTTGTTGTAGATGAGGATCAACTTGAACACATCATTTTATTATTGTGCGTCCCAGACTTTCACTTTCTTCAAGAGAGAGACTGAGACTGAGACTGCCACCCAATCCCATAAACTAAACTAACCCAACAGCAACTTTTTTCCAACTTACTTACTTTTCCGACCAAACGTTTCTTGGAAAAAGTATTGACTTTTTACTTCCTCTTTCTCTCTAACTGAGAATAAGTGCCATATGTATATATGCATTGCGTTGTCATTGCGTGGTTTCAATTATTTTAAATTGAATGTAAAGCTGGGAAGTAGAAAGAAATCGGGTTTTAAACATGGGAAGCATTTTTAAATAGTAAATTCATACACTGGTAAAAATGTGGTATTGATTTGGTAATAAGTTCCTGCGGGATGGGTAGTAGTTTCTTTCTGAGGGAAAATTTGTGATTACTAAACGGTAATGCTCGTCGGTATACACCTTAAATAATTTTGTGATACGATTAATTATTACCGTCAGAGGTACTATGAAATTCTACCGCATGGTAACAAGTTGTCTTCTGAATGTAACAAAATTAAATTTTCTCCGGTAATATTTCTTTCATCAGAGCGTTGACATTGGGGACTGAGCAGGATTTCTATCCTCTGTATATGTGTTACCCTTCGGTGATAAATTGAAATAAAATGAAGTAGTAGAATTGCATTGTATTTCCGCCGGTAATAAAAAATCTTATTATAAAATTGTTTAAAGTGTAGAGCCATTTAGATATGTTCTCCGGTCAGTAATAATTTAACACCAGTTTTCTAAGAGTGTACAATTTGTAGATAGCTACGTGATACCGATTTTATACGTTTCACTTCTTAGATATTCCCTCGTTCACACCACGACAGCGTCAACTCGGGACCACCATTTATTTGATTTTAAAGCCGAGATTTCCCATTTGGCCGAGATGATGAAAGTGATAAGAGAACAAGTAGTGACAAAGGGAAAGGATCTCTCGTGTAGGGACGACTTTGAGATGACGGTGGTGCTGATGGTGGGAAAATGTCTGAAAATGTAGTATGAATACGGCCGCCATGAAAGCTGTGGCGACTAGAAATGGGTGAGAAAGGCGGATTAAATTGCAAAGAAGCAGCCTTTTCTTCATCGCTTCCAGACAAACCTAAGTAACACCACCAACCACCAAACTTTCCCTTCTTCTCGATACATACACCCTGAATCTGAAATATAATTACTTTTCACCGCTTTCACTTCTTCAAAATAATGCAGTTATTTCTTCTCCTACAGAGAAAAATGATTCGATATCTTTGCAAATATCTGCACGATCTGGTTGGCTGCAATTATTTCTCTTAGAGCGAAAAATAACTCGATATATTTGCAAATATCTGGTTGGTTGCATGTATAAATTGGACTTTTATGATGGATGGTGATGACGACGCTGATTTTAATTCTGCTTTGATCGAACCAGGTCAGAAAGTCGTGGTGGTGCATGGCGAGGTATCTTTAATTTTCGGATTTCTTTCCCCTTCCTGGTTGGTTAGGCTTTCTAAAGAGAAAGCATGTGCCTAATATATTTATACGGAGAAGGGCTGGAAGCAGGAAGCGAGTGGGTAGTAGTAAGCACGGTCTGCTTGTTGGTAGGTTTTGGGTGGAAGAGGTTGCGAAATAAGATTGAGGAATGGAAAGACAAGACAATCTTTTGACAAGTCGGAAATTTGATTTGGAAGAGACGAAAGGGCTAAAAGTCCTGCCTCTAGTGAACCCATGGCCCATTATGATATAAGGTTTTGGGGCTACTACTTTCTCCTTCCAGCCTTAAAACCTAGTCACTCACCACATTCTGCACTTTCCCCTAAAACACTATCACCCACCACTTCTGAGATTGTCACACTATTCAGTAATTAGAATTAGAAAGCCATCCCTTCCTCTCCTCAGTACCTACGTCCGACAAAGTGGTGAGAGAGGCAGAAATAACTAAAAGGCTGGGAGGCTCAAGGCTACTACGGGCGAAATGACACACCCATCCACAAAATGTCCTAAGTGAGTGGTAGCTCGTCCATTTTACTTTACATAATTTTACTCACTTTTTTTAACCAAATAGGAAAAAATTCTGGCGATAAAATTAGAGAAAGGTGCAGGCAGAGGTCGACGACGGCAAATTTCGGCGGTGGTGGCGCGAATTTTGGTGATTTTTTGGCGGCTTCTGTGGCGCGGAGAAGCGTCCCAATGTTGAAGGAATAGGAGTTCAAATTTACCGGCAGCGGCGGGTGCGTAAACTGTGACCGGCGTATGCCTGTTCAAAAATTTAGTTTTCATTCAAAAGTCAGTCATCCCGATTTCTGACTCAAGATTATCATTCACATTCAGTCATTTTCGTTGAAATTCATTTCATTTCACTTCACTTCATCGTACTTCATTTCTTACTTCGCCCCATGTATTAAGGATACGGTGAAAAATAAAAGGAGTGAAAAATCCTTTCATTCGCAGTTATTCATCTGAAATGACGGAATACCTCAGTCATTTTCATTCAAATGACAGAAAATTCATTTTCATTCACTATCGTAATCAGTCAAATGAATGAAAGTGAACAGATATGCACCGACGGCGTCGACCTCTGTATACCTCATCTACATAAATATGTATCCGAGTTATTATTATGTCTAACAAAATAAAAATGGGACGACTAGAAGAGTGTCGAAAATTGAAATCGAAAACTTTAATGAGAATAGTTTCGCAATTTGTAGACATTTATTAGACACGGTTCAACTATTTCGTCTCTCGTATTCCGCTCCTCTTTCTAAATACTAATCGCTACGTCCTTCTCCTTACTTAATAAACGGGTCGCGGCGGCTTCATATCCATGAGATGAGACCAATGATGTCACCCTATTGTATAATTTACCATCATCCCCTCTTGAAAGTGAAAGTGAAAAACTTCACGGCTTTCATTTCATTCAACTTTCCCTTTGACTTGATGCCCTGCAAGCCAGACATGAATAGTATGGCTCCTAGTTCATTAAGTGTGCCGGCTTAATCAGCGAAAATGGGACGGATTACCATTGATGCATGTCCCCAAAAATTCTCCTTTGAGCCATTGCGTAAGTTTTTGTGGTGAAAGTTTTCATATCATTTGTTCAAAGGGTATCATAGTGGAAAATGCGTGGAAATAAAATTCGTAGCTGTGACAAAGTCAAAATTTCTGGTTAAATATATATGCGAATGTTGAATTTTTAGGAAACAAAAAAAGTGAAAGTATGCTCCAGGATAAAATTCAGGAAAAGTGAATTATCCACGTTTTTTGTTCCTTGGAAATGTTTTAGAGTCAATTTTACGTACTTTGTTTGATTCAGCAGTGTAATCAATTTCAAGAATAAAATTCAATCCCACCGAGATTACAGGATACGGACTTCTTTGTACTTTCACTTAATTGAACAGTTTGATGATCTAGTAATTAACTTGCTTCCTGCCGACGATCAGTTGACATAACTAATTCCATGGGAAAGGTCAATATTAGCTTACCAACGAATGCACAATGACGAATCTCTGTCAATTGTTTACCAAAGATCATGCACCAAACTGAATCCATTATGGTGTAAGGTGTCATCTCACCATTGCTCGCATGAATCATTAGTCCAGGAAAGAGATCACCTTTTAACCAGGCAGCCTTTATTTTAACTTATTTATTTATGACGAGGGGAGAAGTGAAAGTAAGTGAAAGCAGGAGCCTCGTAAACTAATCTGTGAACCTTCTGTCCTAACCAAACTAGTGGTCAGGACGGCAGCGGAGATTAAGTTTCTGTGACAAATCGTGACTTGACTGCAATGAGGAGGCAAGAAGAAAAAAACTGTTGGTAGTGGTGAAGAAAAAGAAGGTGTCCGTCTTACTTACTTGCTTACAGGAGAAAGTTGGGGTGGTCGCGGTGCATCTGTTTTATAACATCTCCATTTATTTCGGGGTGTCACTTTCTTGACCAGAAAACCAGCGAGGGAGAAGGTAGAAAGTAGTAAAGCAAAGCAGAGCTGCTTATTTTGGGGCGAGACCCTATTATGGGAAGACTTTATTCGTCTGTCTGTCCGTCAGGAGGATAACTGGAGAACGCATTGAGATAATTGAGATCGGTATGCGGCATCATAAATATGTCTCCAGGGGGACGTTGCTGTCAACTTTTGGGGTCAATCGGACCACTACCTCGAGGTCAGG